CTCAAAATTAATAAATAAAAAATAAATTAAAAATAAATAAAATCTTAAAAGTAACATGAGCTATAAGAGGAAATCATCTAGTTTTTTGCTTTAACATTTAGTTTTGCCATTCATATTTTATTGGACCATAAATGGATATTCTCTGGTTTTATTTATTATTATTATTATTTTTTTTTTTAAGTAAGCTCTATATCCAATGTGGGGCTTGAACTCACGACTCCAACATGCTCTATTGATTGAGCCAGCCAGGTGACCCTCTCTGGTTTTAGAAGTATAGCTGGGTCAGTGTAGTTATGTCTACTTAACTTTGTAACTTGGAGTATAGTTGACAATGTTACGTTAGGTTCAGGTACACAACACAGCGATTTCAACTTCTCTGCACGTTATGCTGAGCTCACAACAAGGGTTAGCTACCCTCTGTCACCATACGGCACTATTACAATATCAGTTATGTCTTTGTAATTATCTGTCTTTGCTGAGCTTAAAATTAGGACATTACACATCTAAGAACAAATATATCCTTAATGTCTTAAATGTTACAAACTCTTCAAAGTTCTGTGAAAAACAACCATTTCCACTATCTCGACTATCCACTTAACAAAGCTTCCATTTTCTGACTTACTTTCCACAGTTGTATTATGCTGCTGGGTTTCCCTTTCTCACCATACTTTTGGACTGTTTTTTTTCCCTTACATCAGTTGGTATATGCATAGGAAGGAAGTACCGGACAAACTGACTTCAGGTCCTTCAAGGCAAGGTCTACTTAAAGATAGCAACACAGTGCTTTCTACATACTAGGAACGCAATAAACACTTATGGAATGAATGTGGCATGTTTTTCCTACAAAAAGGCTAGGGATGCCAATAAGCTGTGCTGTATTTATTTATTTATTTTTTTAAAGATTTTATTTATTTATTTGAGAGAGAGAGAATGAGAGACAGAGAGCATGAGAGGGAGGAGGGTCAGAGGGAGAAGCAGACTCCCTGCCAAGCAGGGAGCCTGATGCGGGACTCTATCCCGGGACTCCAGGATCATGACCTGAGCCGAAGGCAGTCGCTTAACCAACTGAGCCACCCAGGCGCCCACGCTGTGCTGTATTTAAAGTAAACTTTATCTTGTGGGGGATGGGCAAAATAAGGGAAGAGGATTAAAAGCACAAACTTCCAGTTATTAAATAAAATAAGTAAGACCTGGGGGTAAAATGTACTGCATAAGGAATATAATTAATAATATGCAACCACTTTGTATGGTGACAGATGGGAGCTAGGTGTATCAAGGTGATCACTTTGTCATATATATAAATGTTGAATCACTATATTTTACACTTGAAATTAATACTGTATGTCACAATCTGAGCAGACACCCAACGACTGAGCTACCCAGGCACCTCAATCTCAACCTTTTTTATAGCTGAGCAACATTCCATTGTGTCTTTATCCCTTTATCTATCAATGGATCTTTTTACTATCTTAATACGGCTATTAGAACATTTTAAATTACATATGAGTGGACATTATATTCTTCTTAGCATTGTTCTAAAGCAACATTTGGAGCTCTTGACGTGATAGGAAGTATACATTAGAAGATAAGGGGTCTTGAATAATGTCTCCCATTACAGTTCCCTGTTGCTCTCTCTTTTACATACTGATCACTTTCCCAGAGTCTTCAGCACAGGTGGAAAAGCTGCCACGCCAAGTGATCACTGTACGCCTGTGGGACATCAAACCACATGGACTCTAACCATCCTTGCTTTTTACAGTTGATTTCATTAGAAGCTACAGTGCATGCCAGCCAAGAAGGAACATTTTTTTTTAAGATCTTATTTATTCATGAGAGACAGAGAGGCAGAGGGAGAAGCAGGCTCCCCGCTGAGCAGGAAGCCCAATGCGTAACTCCATCCCAGGACCCCAAGATCATGACCCGAGCCGAAAGCAGACGCTTAACCGACTGAGCCACCCAGGTGCCCCAAGAAGGAACATTTTTAATTGCAGCAGTTAAGACTTTTGGGGGGATGATTTTCCCAAGACAGGGTTGACTAAATCTTTGCACAAGGCATCTAGACCAAAGCAAGGGCAGAAGAGTAGGAAAACGGGATCACAGGTGGTCCTGGAGAAGACCAGAAAATGGAAGCAAGTTTAAGGAATACTCTTAAGGTGATCTATCTCAAGGCGGAACTCTTAAATCATCAATATGAGCCCCGGATCTAATTGCAATGTCATCCCACTTGCACATGCTGAACATGTACAATGCGCCCTTAATCAGTAGGACCACTGGGTGTCACCTGAGCCACACAGACTCCAGTGTAGCTCGGTGACTGATGTGTGACTGATGGGTGATATCTAGAGTCATGGACCCAGTACAGCAGCCGCCGCCCAAACACGGCAATGGAGCAGTGGAACTGTGGCTAGTATGACTGAAAGCTCAATTGTAAATTTTATGTAACTTAAAGAAATTTTTTTGGGGGGCGCCTGGCTGGCTCAGTCGATTAAGCGTCTGCCTTCGGCTCAGGTCATGATCCCGGGGTCCTGAAATGGGAGTCCTGCATCAGGCTCCTGCTCAGCGGGGGGCCTGCTTCTCCCTCTCCCTCTGCTTGTGCTCTCGCTCTCTGTCTCTGTCAAATAAATAACATCTTAAAAAAAATTTTTTAAGTTAACTTAAATTTAAATTAACCGTCTGTGGCTGGTGGGGGTTGCACTGGCCACTCCAGGTCTAGAGCCTTGCTTCCCCAAGTGTGATTGCAGACTAGCAGTGCAGGACCCTCTGGGAATTTGCTAGAAATGCAAAGTATTTCCGACTCCACCCGGAGTTCCTGAAGTACATCCCACAGTGTACAAGATTGCCAGGTGGTTCCTATGCACATTCAAGTTTGGAAAGCCCTTAGAGTACAGGGTCTTATTTGAAATTGTATAAAAAGCTAGCATATCTATGTATGTCTAGCTATGGGTGTGTGTGTATACACACTTGCCCTCTTTCCTTCCTCTGGAGGCAACATCCATACTTTTTCCTCCGATTTTTCAAGTTCATGATCCCAAACAGAAGTTTTAGCCCATAGGACTGGGCCCTATAAATTCAGAAAGCAGATTTCACTGAACAGAGAGAACCGTGAAGTGACCCTTGGTTCTGCAGCCACACTCTTCAATTCATGGAGGGCAGAGCCGGGCCCTTCACAGCTCTGAGTTCTTCCACTGTGCTTTCACCTCTTCACGTGTGGGAGCGACACGGTGTGCGTTTCTGCTTCAGAACACCGCATATACACACACCAGTATGGAAGCTCAGGCCCACAAGAGCATTCCAGGACCAACGGCAGCTTGCGCTCACGTGTACCGTGTGGCACAGCCGGTCAGGTTTTAAGTAGCCTTGTGCTTCTGCAGGTGCTACCAAGTTTTTGGAGGGACTCATCCAGGAAATGTGGGTTTTTAAATTTTTATTTTATTTATTTGCGAGAGAGAGAATGAGAGACAGAGAGCATGAGTGGGGGAGGGTCAGAGGGAGAAGCAGACTCCCTGCCGAGCAGGGAGCCCGATGCGGGACTCGATCCCAGGCCTCCAGGATCATGACCCGAGCCGAAGGCAGTCGCCCAACCAACTGAGCCACCCAGGCGCCCCAATGTGGGTTTTTTTAAATAAAGTTATGCTTTAATTCTTTTTAAGATTTTATTTATTTATTTGACAGAGAGAGACAGCGAGAGAGAGAACACAAGCAGGGGGAGTGGGACAGGGAGAAGCAGACTCCCCACTGAGTAGGGAGTCCGATGCGGGGCTCGATCCCAGGACGCTGGGATCATGACCTGAGCCGAAGGCAGACGCTTAACGACTGAGCCACCCAGGCGCCCTGGGAAATGTTTTTTATTAGTGTAACTAATGGCTGTCTAGTTACTATCTGCAACATGAAACCATGAATAAAAACAGTTGATAATAAGAGTGTGAATATTTAGCTTCTTAGTTAATAGTGCTGGGTTTACATTGTAATAAAAAATAATGGTCTTTTATTATTTCTTTTAGGCAAAAACTGAGAACATAAGGTATATTTATGTTGAGAATGAGGCTGCCTTTAGGCTTATAAATTTGCCACAGAGAAATGTCTTCCCTTTGTTAAGATCAACAAAATGTCCTGACGTTGATGCTAAGGCAATGATATATTCCAAGCTGACAAGTCCCTGATGTTAGATGGGAGGTCCCCAAGTCTCAAAATGGCGCTAAGACTCTGCCTTGAATCATTATTTCCCCAGCGGTGTTTAAGAAGAAACATGCACAAACTGGCAGTTGGCTAATGCAGTGAGAAAATGGACTCATCCCATAGGGCCGTAAGTATTTCCCAGATGAAGACAACATTTCTAAGTTTAGCCTCACTTTTTTTTCCAATAATGGAAATTTATAAATGCAGAGCTACTGAATGCACTTGCATTAGGCAGTTAGTCCCCTTCATGAGCACTTTTTTCACTCATCAGTCTGATGAAGGAAAGTAACTCGCTAGCAGTGGGAAGTGCAAACAGTCCAATATACATTTAACAAATTTGGCTTTGGTAGGCCAGAAGAATCTTTAGAAACTAGCCAGCTGAAAGAGTTCTTTCCCACGAGATTTCTAATCTTTTTCACCTCTGCAGTGTGATGGATGCCATTAAAATACAGGGATGAAAAGCAGTTCTCAGTCTTCCACTGCCAGACCTGGGACATTTGTCACCCACACCGCCATGGTGGGAACGTTCCTGGTAGGGAAGCTTTTCTCCATTCTTCTCTCCAGAAAGCATGCTGGGAAGCAAGGGAGGGGTGCTACTGGAAGAATAAGCCTGAATCCGGTCCAACATGGTCCAACAGCCGTAGAGCCTGGCGCTCAACTGTATGATTCTCATGACATCTCACACCCGAGCAGGACAGATCTTTGTGCCGACACCATCTCTGAGGATCCCTCATTCACTTCGTTCCTTGCCCTCAGTCTGGGCCAAGGTTCTCATTTGCGCTCAGTTTTAGATAATTTATTTGATTAACATAACTAGTAGAAAGGAGTTTTAAAAAATATTTATTGTATTTTGTTTTAGAAATGGTAGAAAATAAAAATCGGAGCACTTACGTCACACACACACTTGGAAAGGCCTATTTAACCTTCCACGCCAGAGACAAGTTTTACACAAGGGCCCGAAACGGAAACACCTACACTGAAGGTGACGAAGGCTGATGCTGCTGATTGGAGGAGCCCTTGGAAAGGTTTAAAGTTTTCTTCTCTGCTGTCATTCATCTCGGGGCAAATAACCAGTCCAGTGGAAGGAGTTCTGAACATAAAAGGCACCTAGAGTAAAAATCAGACCTTGACTGATAAAAATAGCTGCACGCGTTTACATCGAGAAAAAAAGGTCCTATCAATGCAACTGTCCTGCAAGGCAATGAGAATATAAATGCAAAGCTATTGCAACTAAAAGATCTATCAACACTTACCTAAACCTGGTATAAGAGTTAGATGATGACACATCACTTTTGTGTTTATAAACCTTAGATGTTTTATCATCATTTAAGTAAGCATGAGTCCTGTACTTGTATTAATAGCTAGGGGTGGGGTATTCTATTTATTCATAGTCAAGATTTATTTTGTTGCATTTTCTCTTAAAATGCACCCTTGCATACTCCATTCATGGATACATTAAAAATTCATGTTGTCCTTTAAGAATGTAGCAAAACCTAAAACTGCAACTTTAAACCAAAGTCCTTTTAAATTATGATAAAGCCAGGAAAGCTGACACTTTACTATGACTTAAGCACCTGAAATATATTCTGATCAATTTATATCCTCTGAGCTAGAATTAGGATCCTCAGGATTTGTATATGTGTACAAATATTGCAAATTAAGCTAATAAAAACCTGAAAAAATACAAATAATCTTGAACTACAAGGATCTAAAGTACACCTATGGGTCTGAACAGGAAGCGGGCGGACACTGGGTGCATCTTATCATCTGGGGAAAAGGGCTCAGCGGAGCCAGGTGGTATTCAGCTGGGTCTGGTTCTTGATGCTGGTATCCACTTTTAGCACTTCGCGAATGGCCATGGTAGCGTAGGTAGAAGGAGGGAGAGAAAAATCCATCTTCAGAGCTCTGTATTTGCCTTCTGCCAGGCAAGAGAGAAGAGAACGGTCAGAAAAGGCAGGCAGCAGCAGACAGACTGGGGCGAGTCATAGCATCTATACAGGAAGGAAATAACCACGCTCCTTCCCTCGGGCGCCACTTCCCGTGGGGCTGCAGAGAGCGAACCGTGGAAGTGAGACCTGGGAGTATACGATCCAGCTGAATCCCTATGGTAATTCTACCCGGAACCTTCATAAAAAGGGCAAACATGACACAAAAGTAACAGAGTGAAAACACAATGGAACGGCACCAAGAATTTGACAATAACAATGCAAATTTCACGCGTTAGACTCCGTTCATGGCACCTGTGTTAACTCGGGGGGTGGGGATGTGGAGGAAATATTTGATCATCTAACACCACAATCTTCTGTAATGTTTCTTCATTTTCAGCGAAATCTACCATTTTAATTATCAGGCTATAACCATGAAACTAAGATGACAAAACACAAAATAGAAATCACCGAGCTGGTGGAAGGTAGTGGTGACTGCAAGAGTTTCTTTCTTTTAAAGGACTTTATTCATTTATTTGAGAGAGAGAGAGAGACAGAGCATGAGCAGGAGGGAGGAGGCAGAGGGAGAAGGAGACTCCCCGATGAGCAGGGAGCCTGATGCGGGACTCGATCCCAGGACCCCGGGATCATGACCCGACCCGAACGCAGATGCTTAACTGACCGAGCCACCCAGGCGCCCATAATTTATGTTTCTGATTGAGAAAACATTTCACAGTTGACAAAGAACTGAGCGCTGAGTAAACTTACCAGAAGCAAACACCGGTGGCGGTTTCCCTTCCAGGTTGTCCACATCTGTGTTGAAGAGTGGAATTTTAGGATCATCGTATGCAACGACTTCCCTTCAAAACACATACAGAAAGAAAAGTGTGAATGTGAACAACCATAAACACTACTAAGCTGCTTGCTGCTGTTTGCTTAGAAAGGAGAACACACAGGCCTGCTGGAACTAATTCTGGGTGGGACCATTTGGTAACAGGATAGGGCCAGATCAGATATGTGAGTATTGCCTTGATAATGTACACAGCAAGGTGACAAAGGACGCCAGTCTGTATAAAAAAAAATGTAAAATGTTTCCTTAGGATAGAAATTCTCTTTATACGTACCTGGTAAGTACTACACTTTGCACAGATGCGAATGAATTAATAATGGCATTTATGTTTTCTCCAGAGTGGTTTTCACTACTAACAACACTGCATTACTCGTAAGGAACTGCTCTCTGGAGTGGGGAGGACCAAGTCCAACCCTGCCAACCTCATCACACAACCCAGAGTAGGGAAGATAGAAAGGGAGAATGAGATGGAGAGAGAGAAGAGAGAGAACTTCCTGGCAATGGACAACTAATTCAAGATTTCGTTTTAAAAATTATCAAATAGGGGCGCCTGGGTGGCTCAGTCGGTTAAGCGACTGCCTTCGGCTCAGGTCATGATCCTGGAGTCCCGGGATCGAGTCCTGCATCGGGCTCCCTGCTCGGCGGGGAGTCTGCTTCTCCCTCTGACCCTCCCCGCTCTCATGCTCTCTCTCTCTCTCATTCTCGCTGTCTCAAATAAATAAATAAAATCTTAAAAAAAATAAAAATAATCAAATAAAGCTTTAGTTTACATTAGGTACTGAAATATTTTAAATGAGTTAATGCACGTTTATTTTTCTCTTTAGAAACATGATATTAAACAGATCTGTGTTTGGAACTCATAGCTAATTCTTTTTTTTTTTAAAGATTTTATTTATTTATCTGACACAGCGAGAGAGGGAACACAAGCAGGGGGAGAGGGAGAAGCAGGCCCCCCGGCGAGCAGGGAGCCCAATGCAGGGCTCGATCCTAGGACCCTGGGATCATGACCCGAGCCAAAGGCAGATGCTCAATGACTGAACCACCCGGCGCCCCCACAGCTAATTTTGAATAAAGGTAGCTTGCTCAGGGATAGTTCTGTAAGCAAATCTCGAATTTTAAAAGATCTCTTTTTATTTATTTGAGAGAGAAAGAGAGAGCAGGGGGAGGAGGGGCCCTCAAGCAGACTCTGGAGCCAGACGCGGGGCTCAATCTCACCACCCTGAGATCATGACCTGAGCCAAAACCAAGCTGGACACTTAACTAACTGAGCCACCCAGGTGCCCCAGCAAATCTCAATTTTGTATTTAATAGGGAAAAAGTCTATTCTCTGCACATTTCTTCAATAATTTAGCAAGGTCAATAAAATGTAAACCTAACCACTTTCACTCATTTGTTTCCTGATGATTTGAAAAATCCAAGTAGTAGCAATAATAATAATAGTAATAATAACAAGTAGCACTTCTACATCAGGTTGTAAATACTGGAAAATACACAGGTGATGCAAAAGCTTTCAATCTCACATAAAAATTCAGTTCTATTTTATCACTCACCAACTGACATTCTGAGGACGAATAATGATCTTTCGGTAGGCTCCTGATAAGGAATAATCTCGAATTTTGTGTCTCATGTTATCAATATCCAGATTGTCTGCTGTGAGCATTTCCCTGTAGGCTTCACTGACTATAAAATACAAAAAGTTAGTCGGAATGCAGCATGCCAGCAAGCTACCTTCAGCTAGACTACAAAGAGAGTAACATGTAAATTCAGTTAGATCGTCCTAACAAAACCAGTCCCTCTAATTTATAATCCATCCTGTTCTCTGTAATCAAAATTGAGGGACTTACTCCCAGGACTAGGTGTCTCCAGCTGAGGCTGGACCAACTTGTAAGTTACCTCTTGCAAGCAGCCAGAGTATCTGGAGCGTAAGGTTCTTAAGCTAACTACAAAAAGCGTTTAATTTTTTTTTAAGATTTTATTTGTTTATTTATTTGACAGAGAGACACTGCGAGAGAGGAAACACAAGCAGGGGGAGTGGGAGAGGGAGAAGCAGGCTTCCCGCTGAGCAGGGAGCCCGACTCGGGGCTCGATCCCAGGACCCCGGGATCATGACCTGAGCCGAAGGCAGACGCTTAACGACTCAGCCACCCAGGAGCCCCTACAAAAAGCATTTCATCAGAAGTTATTCAATTACAATTTATACATGCTCAGAGTTGGAAAAGACCATGTACAGAGGCCTCAAACTCTTTCTGGAGGAAGGAAAATATAAATAATATATATACATAAAAATAAAAGACCTGGGAAAAACATCTGAGCTCAGCCTCGCACCTGACGTGGACTCTGTTTTATAACACCCGAGAGAGACTGTCATCTAGCCTTTGCTTGCTGGGGCCAGTTACGGGTAACCACTTCTTCGTGAGAAACACAACTGTTAGAAGTTCCTTATTCCAAGCTGAAATCTGTCTTTCTAGAACTTCTGTTGAGTGCTTTGGAACACGGCCGATTCACTGCACTCTTCCATGTGCACTCACGAGCACTGGCCCTTTAAGCCGTCTCTTCTCTAGGCCACCCAACTGTCCCTTCAACTGTCCCTCTGCCATTTCTGTATTCCCCACAAAACACTTCATCGGTCTCAGGGTAGCAGCCTGAAGTTCTGTAAGAACTCCAGATACTTTATGTCGACTGTCAAACTAGGCCTTTACAAAAGTAACAATTTACATTTAACCCTATTCAATGCCTTCTGTGGTTCTTTTAAAAAACCTATTTTTCATATAATTAGTATTAACCATTCTGGGTAACATAATTTGCAAACATGATAAACAGATTTCTTTATTCAAGTTATTCATAAAAAATACTGGGTAGACCAGGGTGAAGGAAAGACTCACAACACACCTATAAGACAACAGGGATCCCAAATTGAGCATTGCTGGACACCGAGTGTGCATATGTTACCAACCCACAGGCCCGAACCACCACCCATCCAGTCTGTGAGCCCCTATCTTAGTCACAAGGTTTTCATGGACGGCTTGGCCAAAGGCTGTGCTGAATTTATAGATAATTGGTATTAGCCCACATTTCTGATCCTGAGAGGTACAAGAAAGAAGAATAGAATGTTTACTTTCTCTTTCTTGGAAGCTCTGAGCATCTTAAGTGCTTTCCTTCTCACTAGTTCCTGGTATCAGTGCCTCCTCGGGGCCTCACTGCGGTGTCAGAGTAGGAAGAACTTCCCTGCCCCCTCCCTCATCTCCCTTGTCATTTTCTCCTCGTCTCTACTCCTGTCCCTCAGTGGAGTCAACCTCACATAAATATTAGGAGCACAGCATTTTGATTGTGTTAATCAACATGGAAGTGGCAGATGACTAACTTTTTTAAGTATTTGCATTATCAAAGAAGGGTGTTAATACCTAATCATTCTATAACTTGTACAATTTCAAGGAATATAACACTGACAAGGAAAATTCATTCTGGTCCCTTGAGAGAAAAGATGGTTTAAGTAGGCTCCACGCCCAGTGTGGAGCCCAACGTTGGGCCTGAACTCACGACCCTGAGATCAAGGCCTGAGCTGCGATCAAGAGTCAGATGCTTAACTGAATGAGCCACCCAAGGGCTCCAACAATAAAGATTTTTTTTACAAGAAATAACCTCCCACAGACCAGTGCTGGCTAGGAGTAAATTTCCAGGGTCAGATCCACCAAGCTGGTCCCATGCTCAGAGCTGCTTTCTTTTTTCCAATTTTCGAATCCTTGAACAATGAAAGTTCCAATCCACAACCTTCCCAACCCTAATCCATTAAGGTAACGGAAGTAATTAATAACAGCCTGTGGGGAATGGGAAATAAGGGTGGTGAATTCTAACTTTTCACTCTATAAACTTCTGTGCTCGTTGACTTTTAAAACACAGTTTTTTAACCTTTAAAAAAGGCTAAAAGAAGCAATGTTAAAGTAGAACTATCCATTCACTTTCTCAATGACTTTTTCCAAAGCCTTCCTATCTTTAATAAGAATTAGTGGATTTCAGAAATTTAAATACCATTTTGTTTCTTAATTTACTCATCCAGGGGCGCCTGGCTGGCTTAGTCAGTGGATCATGTGACTCCTGATCTTGGAGTTATAAGTTTGAGCCACATGCTGGGTGTAGAGATTACTTAAAAATAAAAAAAATAAAATAAATAAATTTTAATTATCCATCTGAATACATCCCTTCCTGGGGGACTTTATATGTAAACATGGTTTATAAATGCTTGAAATCGAAACATTTTCAAGTCTGATGGAAATCAAAGTTCTAAAATTATATTTCAAGTACTGATTTTTTTTCCCCCTCTCTCTACCCTTTGCGGCCAGTGGCTTAAATATGTCAGACTTTTTTTTTTTTTAAGATTTTATTTATTTGACAGAGACAGAGAGAGCACAAGCAGAGGGAGCGGAAGGCAGAGGGAGAAGGAGGCTCCCCGTAGAGAAGGGGGAGCCCAATGCGGGGCTCGATCCCAGGACTTTGGAATCATGACCTAAGCCGAAGGCAGTTGCTTAACCAACTGAGCCACCCAGGTGCCCTGTCAGACTTTGTTTTAACTATTTTCCCCAGACAGGGAACTTACTTTTATGCTTTGGGTAGATAACATCGAAACCCGGCAAGGGCATTACCACATCATGGATGGAGTAATTATTAACATCTTCTTCATCAATGTAGGTAGCTGTAGCTGCCAAGTCACAAACAGAGAAATTAAGAAAAATTATGAAAATAGGTAATATTTGCATGAGCCTGATCTTCTAAAATTATACACATCTAAGAAGTCAGAAGTGCAAGCTGACATGGCTGAGTGGCCTACAACAAAGCTTAAAGAAATGAAGTTAGAGATCTTTTTGTCTTTTCTGCTCTACCCAAGAAATAAAAATCATGGACTGAGAACAAGTAGAAAGTAAAAAGAAAAAAAAAAAATTTATTTCTCAGCTGCACCCTCAATTTTTTAGAATGTTTGTTTTTTTTTTTTTTAAAGATTTTATTTATTTGAGAGAGAGAATGAGAGAGAGAGTGCATGAGAGGGAGAAGGGTCAGAGGGAGAAGCAGACTCCCTGCTGAGCAGGGAGCCCGATGGGGGACTCGATCCCAGGACTCCAGGATCATGACCTGAGCTGAAGGCAGATGCTTAATCTATTGGGCCACCCAGATGCCCCAAACTGGATATATATCTTCATTAAAGACACAGATCCAAACTGTTCAATCTGAGTTTACAATGTCTTTCCATTTCAACCTTACTAGACATCTCTCCCTCTCTCTTAAGTAGTGGCCAGGCTGGATTTTAAGCACCAGTGTCAAACAACTCTAGTTGGGTCAATAATGAGGATATCTGCCTTTTTACCTCCTTTGAGAACAAGGTCACCTGGAACGGGCTTCAGTCCGTACTCTTCTATTCTCTTGCTTACCATGTTATTCCATACATAGCTTTGGTAGCTATGAATATACATTAAGCGATTATTTCTTGGTATCTGGAAGGAAGAAAAAAATGGGGAAGGAAAAAAATACATATTCTGAATATTAAAAGTACTGTACTTTCCAAGATATCTCACTTGTTTAGTGGTGACCCCAGGATAAGCAGCTCATACCTTGTCATTTTTCTAATAGCTGACAGAAACAGTGACTGACGTGCAGCACCCAGTATGAGAGACAGAACCCCTCTGACTCTGACTACGGGTGTTCAGTCAGCTCCGAATGCAGCGGTTGCCATGCATTCATGCAAATAAAGCAACGCTGGGAGAACCTCTACCCTGAATCAAAAACACAGTGCTCAAACTGTAGAAATTTACACATCACTTACAGAGCAAACAGTGTTTTCTTCCTGATAATTCCATGGAAGAAGAAAACCTAGATGACTGAATGGACAACTAATTTCACGTAGCAAAAATTCTGCTTTTTTTGTTTGCCTGGGGAAGCGTAAGTAAGACTGAAGTTGAAGAGTTAAACTTCAGTCTATTCTGGGTATAGATATCTGAATAATAGCACGTGCCAAGATGGGACCCACTGTTGAACCAATGAAGAAACCAAAGAAACGCGATCATTTAAACCACTTCTAGTGCAACCTCTTACTTTTCGGTAGGTTACAGTGCTGATGCTGGAGAATGATCAAGAAATAACCTCTAAGACGGATTGTGAATTTCTAAGTACCAAGATGCTTAATTTAAATTTCTTTGCAGATAATATTTTCCACTTTAATGCTTTTCTCATGCCATCAACGTTAATAATTATTGCCAACATTTCCCCCACCCTCCCACCACCCCCATCGCCATTCAGGGTACAAACAAGGATCACTCAGGTAACACGGCACTCAGAGATCACCAAAGGATCCTTATTTCACTTTTGCTCTTTCAAAATTTAGTAAAATACTTAAAGATAAAATTTAAAAAGCATTAAGCCACCTCAAGTCATTCGCCTGACTTCACAAATAGCACTCACTATGCCAAATGCAGAGACTATATTCTTCATTCCATATTTGGAAAGTCCTCGAAGCAGCTGCCCTTCCACACACCTTTTGACAGGAAGTTTTCTGAGGGCAGCAGCTGGGTCTTTGGTCTTCGCCCACTCTTCCCTGCACTTAACCAAGTAGCCCTTTTCGGCTGGGGGAAAAAAAAAGCTGTGATTGAAACAATTTATCGAATAGACAGATTTCCGTAACTTAATGGGCTTCCTAGAGAACACAAAATTAGAAAATGCTCTTTGTAATACAGGTACTCTGAACAGCTTCTGTTCACCTGCAAATACCCATCAGAATGTGAAAAGGCGGGACAGGCAGAGTGTACTGAACGAGCCGGCTTTGTCCACCTACTGCCACCCCAGGATTTTTTTTTCTTTCTTTTAGATTTTATTTATTTATTTGACAGAGACACAGCAAGAGAGGGAACACAGGCAGGGGAAGTGGGAGAGGGAGAAGCAGGCTTCCCGCTGAGCAAGAAGCCCGATGAGGGGCTTGATCCCAGGACGCTGGGATCATGACCTGAGCTGAAGGCAGACGCTTAACAACTGAGCCACCCAGGTGCCCCCACCCCAGGATTTAAAGACCATTACTGTTCCATGATCACGGCTGATTCAACACAAGACAAAACCCAGGTAGTCCTTTCTTCCTTCTCTTTTTCTACTGTGTTGGCAAATTTAATAGGCCATTCTCCTTTATTAGACAACTTTATCTCTTTTAATTTGCAAATGAATAACTACCCAAAGGGCATAATTGTTTTGATAATTTGTGTGTGTGTGGTTTTTTTTTTTTTTTTTTGAGAGGCTCCATGCCCAGCTTGGAGCCCAATGTGGGGCTTAAACTCACGGCCCTGTGATCAAGACCTGGGCTGAAATCAAGAGTCGGACACTTAACTGACTGAGCCACCCAGTGCCCTTGTACAGTAGTATTTAAATTTTTTTTTATACAGTACGAATGCAGAGGTACTTTCTGGGAAGTTTTTTTTTACAAACTCTTCAAATACCTCAACATTTTTTGGCCCAGTTTTTACATTCTATTACACTATGCTTTAACAAATTAACCACAAGCGAAACGTGTCTGGATTCCTGCATGTTCAGAGATTTAGTAGTACATGGGGAAAAGGAAATAAACGTATTAATTTATGAAAGAATAAATTAGATGAAAACAGGATATAAATTATAAATCTCAAATATATAATTTATGAAAAAATGAACTATCCTTTCTATTTTACTGTAAAAACAATCTTTAAAAATCTGAAATAACTACCCCCAATATGCACACATACTTTTTATTCAAAGCAATTCCATGAATACCTAACAAGATATTCTATTTTTTTAATTAATGGATTTTATTCTCACCTCCAGAACGGGGTTTCAATATTAAATCCATGACTTCAGTCCAGGAATTCTGTAGGATAGCTCTAAAATTAAACATCATTTATTTTACTTAATTTTGCAGTACGATGAATTTTATATGTCAAAATCTGTGCAGTAACAAATCATGTTAACTTTATATATTTCATTAAATGTAAAAGTAAGTTGAAAAACTAATATAATGATAAAGGTTTCAAATGTAAATGCCAAAGGAAATTAAAAAAGAGAACAAAATGAAGAGCATGTTCACTCATTAACATTTAGTATCACGTCAGTTTTAAAATGCTAGTAGTATAAATCCTACCAACTCATTAAGCTGTTATACATGGTATTATCTGTTTAAATCAAAGTTAAGTCTTTCTGCAGTAAAACTTATTTGAACTTCTCAAGAAACCTCTCCCCCTTGTTAAATACCTTCTTGCTTAAACAATAAATAACACTTTATCCTTCCTATTATTCTTGCCAAAATGAAAATATCTTTATTTTTGCTGATAATATATGCTTTTTTTTTTTTTTTTAAGATTTTATTTATTTATTTGACAGAGAGAGACACAGCGAGAGTGGGAACACAAGCAGGGGGAGTGGGAGAGGGAGAAGCAGGCTTCCCGCGGAGCAGGGAGCCTGATGCGGGGCTCGATCCCAGGACCCTGAGATCATGACCTGAGCCGAAGGCAGATGCTTAACGACTGAGCCACCCAGGCGCCCCTATAATATATGCTTCTTAAAAATTACGTAGTATATAAGAAAGGTTACCTGTTATCTAATTAATATTACCTAAATTAACACTTCAGAGAGTATTTTTCATGACTTTTTAAAAAAAGATTTTTTTTTTTTTTTAAAGATTTTATTTATTTATTTGACAGAGACACAGCGAGAGAAGGAACACAAGCAGGGGGAGTAGGAGAGGGAGAAGCAGACTCCCTGCTGAGCAGGGAGCCTGATGTGGGGCTCGATCCCAGGACCCTGGGATCATGACCTGAGCCGAAGGCAGACACTTAACAACTGAGCCACCCAGGTGCCCCAAGATTTTATTTTTTTTAAGATTTTATTTATTTGAGAGAGCGCAACAGAAAGAGAGAGGGAACGAGTGGGGGGGGGAGGGGCAGAAGAACAAGCAGACTCCCCGTTGAGCAGGGAGCCCAAAGCAGGACTTGATCCCAGGACTCAGGGATCATGACCTGGGCCAAAGGCAGACGCTTAATCAACTAAGCCACCCAGGGGACCCCTTAAAGATTTTAAGTAATCTCTACACCCAGTGTGAGGCTAGAACTCACAACCCCAAGATTAAGAGTCACGAGCTCCCCTAAGCCAACCAGGTGCCACCATGACGTTTTTGATACATCTATAAGCATATCCAATTTTTCCTTTAACTTTTATTACATTATATTTTGCCGTACGAAAATTCTATTCTGTGCATCATATCTGAATTTTTTTTTTCCAATTAAGATTTCTGGTGTTGGAGTCATGCTTAGAAAGGCCTTCTCTAGGGGCACCTGGGTAGCTCAGTTGGTTAAGTGTCCAAATCTTGGTTTTGGCTCAGGTCATGTGTGGGATAGAGCTCCACAGGGAGCCCCAAATCGGGCTCCATGCTCAGCGGGGAGTCTGCTTGAGATTATCTCTCTCATCCTCCCCCACCCCCCGCCCACCCACTCTGTCCCTCTCTAAAATAAATAAATAAATCTTTTAAAAAAAAGGAAGGCCTTCCCCACCAAAAGAATATAGAAATCCCTTCTACTAATTTTTCTGTTTCTTCTAGTTAACTGGGATTTTTATTTTTCATATTTAAGTTAACCTATATGGGATCTTTTTGCATATTAAACTGTATAAAATGCTGCTTGGTATCCAATGATATGATCATGTGGATTTTTTATCCACTAGTGCGATTAATTACATAACAGATTTCTTACTGCTGGCCATCCTTGCAGTCCTGGAACAAGCCACGCTCTATCAGTCTTTCAATATTCTCCTGGGGGACACATTATGGAGCTGGCTAGGCTATCCGAAACACCTCTAGAGAGTGGAGAACTAGTTCAGGACTGGGCACTGGTCTGTCAGGTATCATAGATGTCGGTGTTCAAAAACCTATTACCTGGCTGGCCACTTGGTTTTGTGACTAGGTTTCCTGTAGAACACCCGTGCTCATCTGCGGACACACTGCGTGCGTATGACTTTCACACTGTTGTAATGGCAGCGCTGAGCACCTGCTATGAACAGCCCACGGCCCACAAAGCCCAAGATATTTACTGTCTGGCCCTTCACAGGAAAAGTCTGCCAACACGTGGTATAGTTTCTGAAGATGCTACCACATACATGAAAGTTCAGTACATACTGCCATATTAAACATGTGCAGATTTCAGTCACAAGAGGCCTTTCTACCTGGACCTCTACACATTAAGATGTTTTCCACTTTTCTTACATCATCTTTCTTTCTTCCAGCTTTTTTTTTTAATTGTATAAAATACGCCTAACATGAAACTTTTTTTTTTTTTTAAGATTTTTTTTTTTTATTTATTTGACAGAGAGATAGCGAGAGCAGAACACAAGCAGGGGGAGTGGGAGAGGGAGAAGCAGGCTTCCCACGGAGCAGGGAGCCCAATGCGGGGCTCGATCCCAGGACCCTGAGATCATGACCTGAGCCGAAGGCAGACGCTTAACGACTGAGCCACCCAGGTGCCCCTAACATGAAACTCTTAATTTGGGCCATTTTTAAAGTGTACAGTTGTGTGACACCAAGTACATTTATACTGTGTGTAACCATCAGGACAACCTGCCCCCAGAACTTTTAATCTTCCTCAACTGAAACGCTGTACACATCAAGTAACTCCCATCTCCTGGCAACCACCACTCTACTTGACGTATGAATCTAACTACCCTAGGTACCTCACGTAAGAGGATTTACACAGTATTTATCCTTTTGTGCCTGGCTTATTTCATTCAGCATAAAAGTCTTGAGGTCGATGCATGTTGTAGCAGGTCTCAGAATCTCCTTCCTGTCAAAGCTGAAGGATTCTCCATTGTATCTGTGTAACATGTTTTGGATCCATTCATCTGTTAATGGACACTTGGTTGCTTCCACCTTTTGGCTGCTATGAGTTAACACTCTTAAAAACAGGGGTGTGTAAATATTTGAGTGTTCGCTTTCACTTTTGGGTAGATACTAAAAAATGGAATTTATGGATCATATGGTGATTCTACATTTAACATTTTGAAGAATTACCGTATCATTTTCCACAGAGGCTGGTCCATTTTATACAGCAATGCAAAAGGGTTCCCATGTCTCCATATCTTCACCAACACTTGTTTTTCTTTTTTTAATAATGGTCCTTCTAATGGGTATAAAAAATTATCTCATTGTGGTTTTGATTTGTATTTCCTTAATGATTAGTATTATTGAGCACCTTTTCAATTAGTTTATTAGTCATTTGTATTTCTTTTTTGATGAAAGGTCTCTTCAAGTTCTTTGTCCACTTTTAATTAAGTTGTTTTGCTACTGCTGAGTTGTAAGGAACTCTGTATGTTTTGGATATTAACCCCTCATCAGATATATAATTTGCAAATATTTTCTCCCATTCTGTGGACTGCTTTTTCGTTGTTGATAGTGTCCTTTGTACACAAATATTTTTAATTTTATGGAGCCCAACCTATTGTTGTATCCTAGAAATTCGCAATCAAAAGTCATGAGGTTTTCCCCTAATTATATAGTTGTAGTAGGTTCAGGGCTTGGATCTATTTTGAGTTAATTCTTATAAATGATGTGAGACAACTTGTGATGGTGTGAAGGGTCCAGCTGCATTTTTTTATGTGTATATCCAATTTCCCCAACATAATTTGTTAAAAAGACTGTCCTCGGGGTGCCTGGGTGGCTCAGTCGTTAAGCGTCTGCCTTCGGCTCAGGTCATGATCCCAGGGTCTTGGAATCGAGACCCGCATCGGGCTCCCTGCTCGGTGGGAAGCCTGCTTCTCCCTCTCCCACTCCCCCTGCTTGTGATTCCCTCTCTCTCTGTGTCTCTCTCTCTGTCAAATAAATAAATAAATAAGTAAATCTTAAAAAAATAAAAGAACTGTGCTCTCCTCATTGAATGGTCTTGTCACCCTTGTCGAAAATCATTTGACCACGTATGCAAGGATTTATTCCCTTAAAAAATATATATATAATTCATATATCCATGTATATGGATAATTCATATATCCATGTAATTCATCTTCATTTAAGTGCATAATTCAATGGCTTTTGGTATACTCACAGAATTGTGTAACATTACGCAATCATTATGGAACATCTTTAGCACCCAAAAAGAAATACTACACCCAGCAGCAGTCACTCTCCATTACCCCTCCCCCAAATGTAGGCAACCACTAATCAACTTTGTCTCTATGGATTTGCCTATTCTGGATATTTCATATAAATGAATCCTGTAGTATCTTGCCCTTTGTGACTAGCTTCTTTCACTTAGCATGTTTTCAAGGTCCATCCATGTTGTAGCAGGTATCAGTACTCCATTCTCTTTTATTGTTGAATGACATTCCATTGTACGGATACATCACATTTTGTTTATCCATTTATCAGTTGATGGGACATTTGGGTTGTTTCCATTTTTTTTGGCTGCTATAAACGTTGGTGTAAATTGTTTTCTTTTTTTTTTGGATTTACTTATTTATTTATTTGACAGAGAGAGAGAGAGACACAGCGAGAGAGGGAACACAAGCAGGGGGAGTGGGAGAGGGAGAAGCAGGCTCCCTGACGAGCAGGGAGCCCGATGCGGGGCTCAATCCCAGGACCCTGGGATCATGACCTGAGCCGAAGGCAGACGCTTAACGACTGAGCCACCCAGGCGCCCTAAATTCTTGTTTTCAAAAAATTGGTGTAAACACGTTTTCAATTCCTAAGTATTTACCTAGGAGTGTAACAGCTGAGTCCTATAATAACTCTACACTGAACCTTTTGGGGACTAGCCAGGCTGTTATCCAAAATGGCTATACCATTTTATATTTCTACCGGCAGCACATGAGGGTTCCAATTTCTCCACATCCTCACCAACACTTGTTATTGTCTGTCTTTTTGTTTAGCTATCATAGTGGATCTGAAGTGATAGTTCATTGTGGTTTTGAATTGCTTTTCCCTAACGATTAGTGATTCCCTGATGATGTTGAGCATCTTTTTGTGTGCCTACTGGCCATTAATCTATGTTTTTTGGAGAAATGTCTACTCAGATCACTTGCCTATTTTAGACTGTTGTCTCTTTGGTCTTTGAATTATAAGAGTTCTTTAAAAAAACTTTAGAGGGGCGCCTGGGTGGCTCAGTCGTTAAGCGTCTGCCTTCGGCTCAGGTCATGATCCCGGGTTCCTGGGATCGAGCCCCGCATCGGGCTCCCTGCTCCACGGGAAGCCTGCTTCTCCCTGTCCCACTCCCCCTGCTTGTGTTCCCTCTCTCGCTGTGTCTCTCTCTGTCAAATAAATAAATAAAAAATCTTTAAAAAAAAGAATAGAAGAGGAGCTGAGAGAGGAGCAGCAACTTTTTTTTTCTTATGTTAATCCCCATACATTACATCATTAGTTTTAGATGAAGTGTTCCATGATTGTTTGTGCATAACACCCAGTGCTCCATGCAGAATGTGCCCTCCTCAATACCCACCACCAGGCTAACCCATCCTCCCACCCCCCTCCCCTCTAGAACCCTCAGTTTGTTTTTCAGAGTCCATAGTCTCTCATGGTTCATCTCCCCCTCCGATTCCCCCCCTTCATTCTTCCCCTCCTGTTATCTTCTTCTTTTTTTTTTCTTAACATATATTGCATTGTTTGTTTCAGAGGTACAGATCTGAGATTCAACAGTCTTGCACAATTCACAGCGCTCACCATAGCACATACCCTCCCCAGTGTCTATCACCCAGCCACCCCATCCCTCCCACCCCACCCCCCACTCCAGCAACCCTCAGTTTGTTTCCTGCAATTAAGAATTCCTCATATCAGTGAGGTCATATGATACATGTCTTTCTCTGTTTGACTTATTTCGAGAGCAGTAGCAACTTTAAAAAAAAACAAAAAACTTTAGATGTAAGTCATTTGTCCATCTTTAATCTATAAACTAAGGGTTGTTTTGTTTTTTCCTTAGGAGGTCCTATGATGGTAACAGTGGGCTGCTCTGAAGCTAGGAAATATTCCTATGTTATGGAAACTGTTGGTTTGAAATCTTGAATGGACTGCATACTGACTGTATACTTAGGGCCTACAATGCAATTTTTGTTCCTTTCTGTTTGTTTTTGATAAATCTGATCTCATTTTCATTAGCCATTTTATATTATCTTTGGAGTACAAAATTTGCAGGGTCCCATGGCTGTTCTTCTGCCAAATTAACTACAGATTCAAAAGTTGATACAGGGGCACCTGGGTGGCTCAGTTGGTTGAGGGTCTGACTCTTGGTTTCGGCTCACATCATGATCTCAGGGTCATGAGACTGAGCCCCGTGTAGGACTCTGCGCTCAGGGCAGGGTCTGCTTGAGATTCTCTCCTCCACCCACCACCCCCCAACTCCGCTCGCGCCTGCGCTCTCTCTTCCTCTCTAAAATAAATATAAAGATACAGTCTGGGGCGCCTGTCTGGCTCATCAGTGGAGCGTGCAACTCTTGATCTCAAGGTCAAGCTGGGCATGGAGCCTACTTAAAAAATAAATAAAATGCTATTTAAAACAAAACAAAACAAAATTTAAAAAGCCAAAAGTTGATACAGTCTTCCCTTAAACATTGAAAACATTATCATTTATTATCTAATAATAATGATTATTAGTTACTTTAGTTTTCTTCTCAGCAAAAATTCTTTTTCTGGTTAGTATGCTCTATCTATCGATCTATCTATTTATAAGATTTTATTTATTTGACAGAGACACAGCGAGAGAGGGAACACAAGCAGGGGGAGTGGCAGAGGGAGAAGCAGACTCCCCGCTGAGGAGGGAGCCCGATGCCGGCTCGATCCCAGGATCTGGGATCCTGACCTGAGCCAAAGGCAGATGCTTAACGACTGAGCCTCCCAGGCCCCCCTGGTTAGTATGCTTTAGTATTAAAATACTACTATCTGCTTATTGAGTACCTACTATATCCTAGATATAGCAACGGGTGCTGCATAAATATCACGTCACTTCATTTTCACCACCCTGTGAAGTCAGCATTACGATCTCCATTTGACAGATGAGTAATCTGAGGCTCAGAACTGCCTGAGCTTTTAACCTTCTCAATACTGCCTCAAAGAAATAGAGGAAATACTATATGACAGATTTTTATCATTTTGTGCTTTTCTAAAACCTTATTATTTTAAAAATATTTTATTTATTTATTTGAGAGACAGAAAGAAAGTATGTGAGAGCAGGGGGAGGGGTGCAGAGAGAGAAAATCTCAAGCAGAGTCTGCACTCATTGCGGAGCCCTACGCAGGGCTCGATCCCACAACCCTGAAATCATGATATGAGCCAAAACCAAGAATCAGATGCCTAACCAACTGAGCCACCCAGGCACCCCAATCATTCTGTGCTTTTAAAAAATGCATGAACAAATGCAAGTTCATGTAGTCAGCTGCTGCAACCATGCACGGGAAGTCAAGAAAAGTCCTCTGTTCCTAGGACTATAGGGGACCAACTAGTGAGCTCCAGCAGACCCCCAAGCCTAAATTTCACCTTTGCTAGAACATGGGTTTGAAACACAAGGAAGAACACGAACTACATAATCTCTCAGATCACTTCCAACTCATGACTTCTATAATTCAAACTCCCATGAGAATGATTATTTTATGTAACAATCTACTGAACAGCAGGACAGCATATGACGGCTTAGGTTTCCAAATCCAATAAGTATGTATGTATGTATTTAAAGTTCATTTATTTGGGTGCTTGGGTGGCTCAATCGGTTAAGCATCTGCCTTCGGCTCAGGTCATGATCCCGAAGCCCTGGGATTGAGTCCTGCGTCGGGCTCCCTGTTCAGCGGGGAGTCTGCTTCTCGCTCTGCCCCTCCCTCTGCTCATGCTCTAATAAATAAAATAAAATTAAAAAAAAAATTTATTTATTTAAGTAATCTCTACACCCAATGTGGGGCTTGAACTCATGACCCCGAGATCAAGAGTTGCACGCTCTTCCAACTGAGCTAGCCAGGCGTCCCTTTTAAGGTTTTTTTTTTAAATTTATTTAAGTAATCTCTACACCCAATGTGGGGCTCCAATGACCCCAAGATCAAGAGTCCAAGTATTTATTGATGGGATTTCCACCCTAGCTTACCCTAGAGGGATTCCCTATTCCATGAAAGTGAATCAGAGTTCTTAAAATAAATTTTACCATGCTATTTCCATCCTACACCACTTTCTTTAAGGGCGGGGAAAATGCAGATGAAAGTTTAATAAACTGGAAAGCGTTTGTTAACAGAAATCACAAACTGCGTCCTGTCAGGCTAAGCAACAGCTTACTGTACTCAGCCACGAGTTACCTGTAAAGAAGGAACTAAAAACAGAATCCCTGGATGGGTTATCAGGGATGAGAGAAAAACTTACCTTTCAGGTTATATCTTTTTTAACACTAAATTAATTAATTTTTTTTCTTTTCAAAAAATTTTTTAAAGATCTTATTTATTTGACAGAGAGACACAGTGACAGAGGGAACACAAGCAGGGGGAGTGGGAGAGGGAGAAGCAGGCCTCCCGTCAAGTAGGGAGCGCAATGCGGGGTCTCGATCCCAGGACCCTGGGATCATGACCCGAGCTGAAGGCACACACTTAACGACTGAGCCACCCAGGTGCCCCAATTTATTATTATTATTTTTGTATTAATTTGTATTATCTTAATACACAACAAAAACTAGAAGAATGCTATGGATCAGTTGATGAGACACACTGGTTCATTTGGCCCAGACATGAATAATTAAAAACAACAGCAACAAAAAGTCTTTCTTCTTTTTTTAAGTGAGCTCTTTCAGACAAAAGTTAAAAATTAAATACGCACCTTCCAACCTGGTATGTGGGGACAGCGGTAGTTCCAAATCTTTGCATTCCATAGTAGTTAATAAATCCGATCTCCTTGAGAGAGTGCATAGCTTGCTGAACTTGGTCATCAGTTCCTGTTATATTTCTGTAGGGGCCCAAGTTACCCAGAGAAGAAACTGAGTCAAACACATTCAGGGATGCAGATCATTAATGATATGGCTTGGCTTCCATGTCTTTCCCTTATTCCCTGCAGCTTTCTCTCTACCTGCTGAGGACTCTATGTTTTTTTTTTTTTTTTTAATTGTGGCAAAATATACATAACATTAAATTGACCATTTTGGCCATTTTTAGGTATACAACCTAGTGGCTTTAAGTACACCGACAACGTTGCGCAACATTGCCCACTAGCTACTTCCTGAACTTTCCACTCTTCCCAAACGGAAACCCTGTACCCATTCAACAACAGCTCCCTGTCCCCCTCTTAGGCTCCCCTGCCCCAGGTAACCCTGTTCTACTTTCTGCGTCTGTGAATTTGCCCATCCCAGCTACTGCCTACAAGCGGAGGCATGGGCTCTTCGTCTCTTAACACTGTGTTTGAAGCACGTGGCTCCTTTCCAGCAGAGGCGCCGAGTTTCGAGAGGTGAGGGGGTGTCGGTACCAATTCTCCAGCACTATTTGCTCTCCCAGCCCTTTCAGGCTCCGCTTGGCCTTCCCTCGCTGCCACACCTGCTCGAACCAGCTCACCTGGATTAGAAACTGATCCGAACAGACCCTCTCTGGTCTGCACTCCTCCCTGCAGGTCTTTACCTGAGGACAACAGTGAAGTGATTCCCTTGAAGCTCTCCCAGTTTCAGAGGGTTTTTCTGATAGCTGAAATTCCCCAGTTTAAAGTTCATCAAGCACTTGTTCAAGTGGGCAAGTCTTTGAGCGGTTATTCTAAAAAACAGAAAATAAAAAAGGAGCACAAAGAGGATCATGAAATACTGCCTGACTGAAATAGTCTCGGGCACCCAACTACAAGAAACGACAGCTCGAAACAAGACTGCACACCAAGCTATGAGGAGTGGAAACACAGGCACCACGGCAGCTGGGCTGAGCACACTTTTCATTTCCCTCTGGATTGTTCCTCCAGCAAAATGATACTGGTTCAACCTTACCGGATAGATTAACCTGGGCCACATTTATATTCATAAAGCCTCGTGTGATTTATAATGATTAATGGAACAATCATATCTACTTTTTCTGAGAGGGAAGGGGGATAATAACAGCAATCCCATACAACCGTAAAGACTGTTATTAAACGTTTTAAAGAAGAGTTAGTCCTATTTTCATCTATCAGAAAAATACTGTAATCTAACTAAGGAAACTTGAAAACATAGAAAAGAAAAACAATGCAGTTTCATCACCTGGAAAAAAAATCTGCTAATATCTAACTTTGCATTTCCTCCTGTTCTTTTTTTAAACATGTTTTATAGATAGATAGATAGAGATGGCATTCTACCACAAATGTGTAACTTACTATCATTTAAAAGGTGTAAGAATGGGGCACCTGAGTGGCTCAGTCGCCTAAGCATCTGCCTTCAGCTCAGATCATGATCCTGGGGTCCTGGGATGGAGCCCCGGGATCGTCATCGTAAAAGGAGCTTCTCCCTCTCCCTCTGCCCCTTCCCCTGCTCTCTCTTGCTCTCTCAAAAACAAAAAAAAACCCAAAAAAACCAAAAAACCTTTAAAAGGTATAAGGAAATTTTCATGAAAAATTCCTTAACTTCTTTAATAGTAATTTATGTAGAAAAACAAATTCAGAACTGAAAAACCTATGTCCGATCTCTATCCCTTGGCACCTCTCTCCACCTGCAACCCACGTTAACAGTTTATTGTGCATCCCTCCAGAAACAATTTATGTATATAGAAGCATATATGTACCTACAGTCTTCTCCCTTTCAGGAATTTTTTGGTAAGTTCTTTATATGTTGTTTATATGGAAAAATACACAACTCCTAAGTGTTCTGCTTGACGAATTTTCACCAAGTGAACACAACCATGTAACTAGCACCCAGATCCTCCCCCTCTTTTGTTACATTATAAATTGTTCAGCATCTTGCCTTTTTTTTAAAATAAGATTTATTTATTTTTAGAGAGAGAGTGCGTGAGCAGAGTAAGGGGCCGAGGGAGAGGGGAAGCAGACTCCCCGCTCAGTGGGGAGCCCGATGTGCAGGCTCGATCTCCAGACTAGGAGATCATGACCTGAGCCGAAATCAAGTGTCAGATGCTTAATTGAGCCACCCAGGAGCACCAGCATCTTGCTTTTTTTTCCACGTAAAAATGTATATCTGAGATTTGCATTATCCACACAGACTTATTTATTTATTTATTTATTTATTTATTTATTTGACAGAGAGATAGCACAAGTAGGCAGAGCGGCAGGCAGAGGGAGAGGGAGAAGCAGGCCTCCCGCCGAGCAGGGAGCCTGACGCGGGGCTCGATCCCAGGACCCTGGGACCATGACCTGAGCCGAAGGCAGACGCCCAACAACTGAGCCACCCAGGCGCCCCTCCACACAGACTTCGGAGGCTGCCGCATTCTTTGTCCAGCCGCATGGGATGGCTGCTGTCCTGCATATGTAATCCTTTTTGTGACCCCCTTTGATGGACATTTAAATTGCTATTTTGCTGTTACAAACAAGTCTAAAGCAAGTATCCTTACACATACTTCTTTGTGCATCTATACAGGTGCATGCCTGGAATAAATTCCTAGACGCGGGAGGTGTGGATTTTAAATTTTACTGCCGACTGCCCTTCAAAAAAGTTTTATCAATTTATGCTCACACCATCAACCTGTAAATGCCTACTGCCTCATCCCTGTGTCTCCTGCCATAGCCTATTATAAACCTTTCTGAGGTCTGCCAGACCATTAAAAATGCTATTTCCTTGGTTTTTATTTGCACACTTCCTATTGTGAGGTTAAACATTTCTACACATGTTGGCTGTGAACTGCCTGTTTGTCCGGTTACCTATTTTTTACCTATTTTGGATTGTTATTATTTTTCTTACTGTTTTAACAGAGTAAGGAAATCTGTCCTTTACCACACAGTTTGCAAATATTATCTCCCATTTTGTGAGTTTAGATTATTTATTTATTAAAGATTTTATTTGACAGAGAGAGAGACAGCGAGAGAGGGAACACAAGCAGGGGGAGTGGGGCAGGGAGAAGCAGGCTTCCCGCTGAGCAGGGAGCCCGATGTGGGACTTTATCCTAGGACCCCGAGATCATGACCTGAGCCGAAAGCAGACGCTTAACAACTGAGCCACCCAGGCGCCCCATTTATTTATTTATTTTTTTAAAGATTTTATTTATTTGAGAGAGAGAGAGCATGAGCTGGGGGGAGAGCTGAGCAGGGAGCCTGATGCAGGGCTCAATGCCAGGACCCTGGGATCATGACCTGAGCCAAAGGCAGACACTTAACTGACTGAGCCACCCAGGTGTCCTGAGTTTAGTTTATTTATAGTAGTTTATACGTTAGAAAATTTCCCCCCAGTTATATTTAAAAAAATTCAGAACTGGAGAAAAATGGCAACACTGTACCTTATACTTTCCAGGAGATTTACCAATTGTTAACTCCCACCCCCACCCCCGACTTTATATATCTCTTTCTAATCGATGAACACCCACACATTACACACACATGCACACACACAGACATAAATGTGAAATCTAAATACTTCACTGAACAATTCTGAGTTAGTTGCAGACATCACACCTTACCCCTAGTGGCCCCTGTGTGTGTCTCCTAGACCCCTACCCAAGCGGGTCACACTCAGAAAGCCTAACATGAATTTGACACTACTGACAGGCGGTCCACATCCACATTCACCCCATTACCCGATAACAACATTTTAAGCTCCCTGAATTCAGGATCTAACTAAGGACCACATACTGCCGTTGTGACATCCAGTTAGTGTCCACTAAGCTGCTTGGCTCGGCCCAGCCTCTGCTTTCTATTGGTATCTGACTTTTAGCAGAATCCAGGCCAGCTGTTTCCCACCGTGCCTTTACATTCGGATTTGACGATTGTTTCCTTGTGATTAGACTTAGATAAACACATTACTTAGGTGATGTGATGGCCTTTTCAGTGTATCCCAGCAAAAGGCAATAATATTCAGTTTGTCCATCACTCATGGTGATAAATTTAATCACTGGGTTAGGATGGTATGTGTTAGGCTTTTCTATTGTAAAGGGACCTTTCCTCTTAGATGGATTATCCTGTTCCCCATAGTCTTTCATCCGCCTGTTCAGGTACCCTAGGATTCTTACTACTTCAAGCAAAACTAGTGTGTTAATGTGAAAGAGTGTTTATCTCTATCTACCATTCCTTCTGCCTTAGGTGGCATTCTTCTGTAAATAAGGACTATAGGGGCGCCTGGGTGGCTCAGTTGTTAAGCATCTGCCTTCCGCTCAGGTCATAATCCCAGGGTCCTGGGATCAAGCCCCGCATCGGGCTCCCTGCTCAGCAGGAAGCCTGCTTCTCCCTCTCCCACTCCCACTCCCCCTGCTTGTGTTCCCTCTCTCGCTGTGTGTCTCTGTCAAAATAAATAAAAAAATCCTAAAAATAAATAAATAAATAAGGACTATAGAGTAAAATTTTAGTTATGTTCATGAATCTTTTTTTTTTTTTTTTTTTAACAGTTCTGGGATTTAGGATTGCCTGAGTGGCTCACTTGGTTAAGCATTTGCCTTCAATTCAGGTCGTGGGATCGAGCCCCATGTCGTCGGGCTCCCTGCTCAGTGGGGAGTCTGCTTCTCCCTCTCTGCTTGCTCTGTCAAATAAATAAAATCTTGAAAAAAAAAAAAAAGAATAGTTCTGAGGTTTAAGATATACTCAGAAAGGGTATCCCTAGCCAGAGATTTTTTTTTTTAAAGTTTCCCAAATGTAAATAGAGCACTTTTACAGTTTTATTGTTTTGTTTTGTTTTCAGTTAAAAGGGGCACTTTTCTGTTGTTTCCTTTTGGCTTACAGTAGTGATTATTTTTTATCACACCTCATTTAGAGCAGTGCTAGCCTCTGTGCGTTCACCAACACACCAATCTTCACTACTGGGGCTTTCTAAGTTTACATCGGTTGTGGAGAAAAATAAAAGACCTCAGGGCACTGCTGCTCCAGGGGCTCTGAGTGGGAGCTTCTGTTTTTCCTTCCCCAGCCCCCCTCTGATGCCAAACGTGGGCCACTTACAAAGGAGGGGGACACGGGACAGGTCATGTTGACTCAGGAAGGTCTTCCTGCTCTCGCCCCCGGCTTTAAATCATGGAGTCTCCTCATCCTAAGCAACAAGGACGTGAAGGAAAGAAGTGGGAGAGTGTTTTTCACACACAAACTGGCAACCGTGTCACAGCCAGCTATACTCAGTGGCGTGGGCTCCACATTTTAGATCAACGGGGTCACACATACCTTTCCGCTTTATGGCCTTTTGAAAAAGCAGACTGTGGACTATAAAAACTACACCAAGGACCTGGCTACAGAAAAATAAATATTTGCCCATCGGTATCCGTGTGCAGTGGCACCTGCGGCTGGTGCCGGTCTTTGACCAGCTCTGCAGGCCTCTCCCGGTGATCCTCTTTGCTTCAAGGTAAAGTTCTCTTTGTGCGGGGCGGGGGGGGGGGGGGGATCTGGCAAAGCACTGCCACTTTACCCACTCAGGGGAGACATACAAAAACGTCAGCACGGATTCTTTCATACAGTGTTGTTTTTTTTAACGTTTAAATTTTCGATTCACCTGGAATTTATTTAGAATAGGGAACTGAGGTAAGGAGCCAAATATTTTTTTTCAGATGGTTATTCAGTTATCTCAACAACATTCATTGACTCAACCATCTTTTTTCTGATTTTTTTTATTTTATTATTTTATTTTTTTTTATTTAAAGATTTTTATTTATTTATTTGAGAGAGAATGAGAGACAGAGCACGAGAGGGAAGAGGGTCAGAGGGAGAAGCAGACTCCCTGCCAAGCAGGGAGCCCGATGCGGCACTCGATCCCAGGACTCCAGGATCATGACCTGAGCCGAAGGCAGTCGCTTAACCAACTGAGCCACCCAGGTGCCCTGATTTTTTTTTTTTTTAAAGATTTTATTTATGGGGCGCCTGGGTGGCTCAGTCGTTAAGCGTCTGCCTTCGGCTCAGGTCATGATCCCAGGGTCCTGGGATTGAGCCCCACTTTGGGCTCCCTGCTCAGCAGGGAGTCAGCTTCTCCCTCTGCCCCTCCCCCCACTCATGCTTGCTCTCTCTCAAATAAATAAATCTTAAAAAAAAAAGATTCATCCATATTGTAATACCTATCAGTACTTCATTCCTTTTTATGGCTGAAGCATATTCTATTGCCTCTTCTTGAATACCTAACAGACACGTATTTCTGAATCCCACTGGCACAGCAGAAAGCAAGAGGTACACTCATTCTTATAGGATGGGTACTCCCTGAGCAGAGGTGGAATGGTGTTGACAGTATCTCCATGACACTGTTCACAGTTTTAATTCTGATCATCTTGGATAGAGCTCTACAGTTGTAAATTCATAGCGAATTCTGTGACTAACTTGGGACTACTAAAAATCTCACTTTTAAACATCAGGAGCCAACCTAAGCAACACGTTGCACAAAAAGCCTTTATTAACAAAGCCAGTGAAACACTGGCCCAGGCTCAGAAAGGAGACTGGCAGGAAGAGGCAGGAAAAGAAACAAATCATTTTGAATGAGGCTGTTCCTGCTGGAGATCCTGTTAAAATTACGAGGTGGCTGGAGAGTTACACGAAGCCGAAAGAAATGCTGCTTATCCCCAGGAATGAGCGATTCAGCAATAATTAAAACTCCCGTGTGGCAGAGTGGGTTTATCCTGTGTACCGGTTCTCACGGGAAAGGCCAACCTGCCCGGCCCAGTGTATCCATTAAGCAAACGAAGGGTGTCGCCTGCATCCGCGAGATAAGTGCTATGTGCTTTCCAAAGGCCGACACTTAGGGGTCTAATATAGTTTCTTACGAAGTCAACAGGAAGATGAGAAAAGCAGCAAAGGCTATGAAGACAGAGCAGCACTGTGATCAAGTATGACACCTGGTGGCTGACCAAGAAGAGAAATACCTTCACTCCAAATATTCAAAGATTTCACATCATATAATGCAATATAAAATAACGAGATGCCATTTCTTGACCCTCAAATTAGCAAAGGATTTAAAAAAACAAAACAAAACTGTAACACCTGTTAAGTAGGGAGGATTCTGGGGAAGTAGAATAAAGGTGACAAATTGGTACCACCTTTCCATAGGACAACTAGGCTTTGCTATTAAAAGCCTAAAACCTAGAATTTCACATTCCCTTTAAATCAGAATTCCAGTGCTAAGTTTATCTTTTTTTTTCTTATTTATTTATTTATTTATTTTTTAAAAGATGTATTTATTTATTTGAGAGAGCGAGAATGAGAGAGTACATGAGAGGGGGGAGGGTCAGAGGGAGAAGCAGGCTCCTCGCTGAGCAGGGAGCCCGATGCGGGACTCGATCCCGGGACTCCAGGATCATGACCTGAGCCGAAGGCAGTTGCTTAACCAACTGAGCCACCCAGGTGCCCTTTTTTTTTTTTTTTTTTTTAAGATTTTATTTATTTATTTGACAGAGAGAAAGCACACAAACGGGGGAGCGGCAGGCAGTGGGAGAGGGACAAGCAGGCTCCCTATTGAGTAGGGAGCCCGATGCGGGCCTCGATCCCAGGACCCTGGGATCATGACCTGAGCTGAAGGCAGATGCTTAACGACTGAGCCACCCAGGCGCCCCTCTCTGCTAAGTTTATCTTTTTTTTTTTTTTAAAGATTTTATTTATTTATTTGACACAGAGAGAGAGAGCACAAGTAGGCAGAGCAGCAGGCAGAGGGAGAGGGAGAAGCAGGCTCTCCGCTGAGCAGGGAGCCCGATGTGGGGCTTGATCCAAGGACCCTGGGATCATGACCTGAGCTGAAGGCAGCCGCCTAACCGACTGAGCCACCCAGGCGCTCCTGCTAAGTTTATCTTAATGAAGTTTTCACAGATGTGTGCCAAGATTTAGCTACCAATATGTCTGTCATGGAATTGTTTATAATAGCAAGAAATGGGAAACAATGTCAATATCCAAAAATACAGTAACAATCCAGAAATTAGGATTCACCATATTTTAAATATCTTTTGCATTTTATATAAATATTTTGGCTCACAAGGAAAAAAGAATCCCCCCAAAAAAATATACCAAGCTGTGAACAAGGCAATCTCTGAAGGAGTACAATTATGGCAGAACTTTTATTTTCCACCTCATTCCTTCTGTGAGGAAAATAAAACAACTAACTTATTTATTTAATTTTAGAAAGATGTTTTTATGTAATCTCCACACCCAGCACCGGTCTCAAACTCACAACCCGGAGATCAAGAGTCACATGCTCTCATGACTTAGCCAGCCAGGTGCTCCCGAACTTACTATTTTTTTTAACTTATTTTTAAATTTGGGTGAAAAAAACTGCAGAACCAGCCAGAAAGCACAGGAGTTGACTACAACGATATTTGAGATACAGAGGATGGAAACACCTGAATCCTTGAGCCACTGCTGTTCCCCCAACCCTTCAGAGTTTCTGGCTAGCCCACTGGCCCCACTACCCACAGAGGTGATTTCAAATCTTCACACTCTTTTCAAGTTCCCTTCCCCACTCCTGCCCCACCCCCCTGCTCTCAGCAGATGACTCCACATTTTGTGCATCACAGGAAGAAAAAGAACAGGCCACCGTGTAGGAACATCTTCAGGGATCTCCGGCCGCTCTCTTTCAAACACATTCATACACACTGTTAGTGGAGTCACGGAGAGATGTTCTTACTTTGCTTTCATGACACAACATACCTCCCTAAGGTCAAGGAGGAAAAGGGCTGGAAAATCCATTAGGATGCAACCAGATGCTTAATCCCAACACCATTTCAAGTGAATCAAAATAGTCGTGGGAAAGAAGCAGACTATAGGGGATTGTAGGGTAAAGAGGAGAGGCCACCTCACATTCTTTATGAAAAGATAAGCATATGTATTTAAATATATGTATTTAAGTGGGGACAGCAAGCACAGATGACTTCATTTGTCATTACAGTATAATTAACGTGCGGTAAACTGTACATATTCAAAATGTACAAGATTTGGGACGCCTGGGTGGCTCAGTCAGTTAAGCGACTGCCTTCAGCTCAGGTCATGATCCCAGAGTCCTGGGATCAAGCCTCGCATCGGGCTCCCTGCTCCACGGGGAGCCTGCTTCTCCCTCTCCCTCTGCCTGCTGCTCCCCCTGTTTGTGTTCTCTGTGACAAATAAATAAAATCTTAAAAAAATGTACAAGATTTACCATGTGAGTAAGCCCATGAAACCATCACCATATTCAAGATAACGAACATACGCATAACCCTCAGAAGTTTCCTCCAGCCCCTGTATTTCTCCCTCCCACCACTCCTTACCACGGGGGGTGGGGGTGGGGGGTTGTGTGTGTGTGTGTGTGTACACACACACATAAGACAAAAGCCTGAATTTGTCTGACTTCACGAGGCTATAAATTCATCTCTTCCCCTTCCTTTCAATAGACTGTGTAGGTTCAGAGGCCCCAGGAAACGGCAATAGCCCCGATCTCCAGGGTCACCCACCTGCTCCAGTCACAACCCCTACTCCTGCCTCTCCACACAACCCTGTCTATTTTAGATCATGGTCAAGTCCAAGATACTCACCATGACCTACAGGGCCTGAGGATCCTGATTTCTTGCTAGCTCCCACAAGACTAAAGTACCTGCCAGGTACCAAATGTGCTGTGCTCCCCAACTCCTTTCCAGCATCTTTTCACGAGGTATTTTCTTGGTTCAAACAAGCAACCCTAGACCCTCCATAGCCCTAGGAAACTCCTACTCATCCTTCCAGAATCTAGACCAGTGGTTCTCAACCATAGGAGATTTTGCCCTTCAAGGGACATTTGGCAAAGTGTGGAGACATTTCTGGTTGTCACAACTGAAGGTGGAGGGCTAAGGGGGGGGATGCTACTGACATCTAGTGGGTAGAGCCCAGGGCTGCTGCTAAATGCCCTACGATGGCACAGGATGGCCCCCACAACAACGAATTATCCACTCCAAACTGCCGTTGGTGAAGGCGGAGAGGCGTTGATTAGATTAAAACTCCAGCATCCCATTTTATGTGAAACCCTTCCCTGGCCTGCCCTAATTCCCCCAGCATACCTGTATTTTAGCATTTATCTCACTGTGTGATAAGCTCTGATTTACTTGTCTGTCTGCTCCATTAAATTATAATTGCTTCAAATGCACAGACCATCTTTTCATCTGTATATCCCCAGTGTGTAACAAAAGAGCTCACTGTTTTGTAATTAAATTTTAAATAACTTATATTTAATAATGAATGAACACAAAAGGACGGAGAGAAGGAAGCACTTATTCTCTTGGCTCTACCACAAAAATCCTTTAAAAATCACACAAACGATACCTGTTTCCTCCAAAAAACATTAGGAAATACAGATACGCAAGAAGAAAAAAAATTATTTTTTGAATAGGCAGAGGCACCATTTAAAGAGAGAAGAGACAGGGGCGCTTGGGTGGTTCGGTTAAGCATCCGACTCTTGATTTCAGTTCAGGTCATGATCTCAGGGTCATGAGGTCAAAAGCCTTGCATCAGGCTTGCGCTCAGTGTGGAGTCTGCTTGTGCCTCTCCCTCTGCTCCCCCCTCCCTACACTCTCTCTCTCTCAAATAAATAAAAATCTCAAAGAAAAAAAAAAAAAGAGGGAAGAGATAAACCCCACAGCAAATCTGAGAACCGTGGAAGGTGGTGCTAGGGTTTCTGTGAACAAATCCCGACATGTACGTGGTACTTACTTGAGAACAGCAATCTCTTGAACGGTTATGGCCCTTTTATCTTTGGTTCCCATGTAGGAGAATATGTTTGGTTTGACTCTGGTAAGACAAAAACAAAACCATATGAAGTTGCACACCATTAGGAAATCGTATTTCTCATGCTTTAAGGTTCAAAGTAAATAAAATCATAACAGGGGCGCCTGGGTGGCTCAGTTGGTTAAGCGACTGCCTTCGGCTCAGGTCATGATCCCAGGGTCCTGGGATCGAGTCCCGCATCGAGCTCTCTGCTCCTTGGGAGCCTGCTTCTCCCTCTGCCTCTCTCTCTCTGTCTCTCATGAATAAATAAATAAAAATCTTAAAAAAAAAAAAAAATATACCCAGGAAGGGGCGCCTGGGTGGCTCAGTTGGTTGGGCGACTGCCTTCAGCTCAGGTCATGATCCTGGAGTCCCGGGATCGAGTCCCGCATCGGGCTCCCTGCTTGGCAGGGAGTCTGCTTCTCCCTCTGACCCTCCTCCCTCTCATGCTCTCTGTCTCTCATTCTCTCTCTCTCAAATAAATAAATAAAATCTTAAAAAAAAAAAAAATACAAATCTTAAAAAAAAAAAAATGTACCCAGGAAAACATAATATGCCAAGCTAAGGAAGTAAATGATGCCTCGACAGCAACCTTCTTAGCAGGGCTTGACTTAGCATGTTTGTGGCTATGAGTGAAAACCTGCCATTGGAAGACCTGGCTAGCCAGTAGCCAGTAACCAAAAGGAAACAACGTACTTCCTATCGATCACAGGCCATTCATTGGGTGACACGAAAGTGAAGGTAAAGAGAGGCTCATTCTAGATATATAATGGACCACTCTGAAAATTTTATTATCTTCAGTTTTTAAAACGTTAATAATGTGAATTTTCCATAAATACATGCTATTTCTTTGCATAAAAAACCCCAAATACTAAAATAGGGATCTGAATAGTTCTGATATAAAGATCTAAGTAAGCTAGTTAACAAAGAAGTATTTTATAGAAACTGCTCCACATGAAAAGGAAAATGACAGGACAAATTTCTTGAACTCTGAGCGCTCCCCAACTGCAGAGCTCAGAGGAAGTCCCTCCGCAGTGGTCTATCCTCCCAGGATCAGGTACAGACAAACCCCGACTCTCTCCCAGAGAGCTAGCAACTAGAGTAAAATATAATGTCCCTTATAGAGTACTGCACCCTACTGACTGAAATATGGCCCTACTGACCCTAACCCCCAGTACCTCAGAATGTAGCTGCACTTAGAGAGGGCCTTTAAAGACATGGTTCAGTTAGAATGAGGCTGCTGGGTGGGCCCTTATCCGATCTGTTCCAGTAAGAAGAGAAAATGTGGACACACAGACGCCGGGGACACACATGGAGGGAAGACCACGGGAGGACACAGAGAGAAGGTGGCCATCTATAAGCCACGGAGAAGCCTCAGAAAAAAACCAAAACCTGCCAACACCTTGATCCTGGGACTCCTCGTCTCCAGAGCTGTGAGAAAATCGGTGTCTGTTATCGAAACCTCCCAGTCTATGATATTTTCTTATGGCAGCCCCAGCAAACTGACACACTGTCCACCATGTTTAAACTGGGTTAAATATATATCAGAAAGTAAACTTCCAGTGCACACAGATTGGCTGCGGTGCCTGTACCCATGACTGAAAAACAATTCTACGGCACCTGGCCCATCCTCAGAGACTCAAACTGCATTATCTGCATTCCCAGGAGGAAATCCTACTGGTTTCAAGTTTTCAATCAAGTCAGTCTCCAAGAATTAGTTTACAATCTAGTTAAACAAATCCCTGCCAACACATCAAAGTGTAGGCTTTCTAGGAAGCAAGTTAATTTTTTATTTTCAGCTGGATGGACCAACATGTGAACTATTCATTTGTAGAATTTCCATCTTGAATCACAATATGCATGGAGGTAAAAAAAAAAAAAAATTAATTCACCTATTGTCTAAGGAAACTGGGGGGCACATTTACTATCCGTTTGCCTATTTTCCCGCCTTTTTTTTTTTTTAAAGATCTTATTTATTTATTTGACGGAGAGAGAGTGAGTGAGAGCAGGAACACAAACAGGGAGAGTGGGAGAGGGAGAAGCAGGCTCCCCACTGGGCAGGGAACCCGATGCGGGGCTCGATCCCAGGACCCTGGGATCATGACCTGAGCCGAAGGCAGATGCTTAACGACTAAGCCACCCAGATGCCCCCTGCTCCTTTCTCATTAGCACAGAAAGAGAATAATAATTCCCATGTTGTCATTTTGTGTCAGCACAAGAACAAGATACTAACCGTAAATATTTGGACAGCACATTAATAGCATCCATGGTGTCTTTGTTTTCCTTGTACAGTACAAAGTGGCAGTAACTTCCTCTAGATTTTGGCCAAGAATGTTTTCTTGGATCTTAAAAACAAAAAAATTAAATGTTATATAGACCATAACAAAAGTGATCTAAGCTTTAGCTTATGAAACCTACAAGGTCATTTTTTGCTAGAGAACCTCTGAGTGAGAAATCCAATCTAGTCTGACAAGAAATACATGTTAAGTGGTTACAGCTGTGTGGACTACAGGTATTACACTTCCTGCGACTGGAGACTCAACATTATCTGTCCACATTCACAATCAAAAGCTGAAAGGCAGGCAGTGTGACAAATGAGTAAGACTACCAGGCAATCCTCACACAGAGGGGTCCACCCCCCCCCCAGTGCGTTTACTTCACAAGCGTGCATCTTGTAGGTGGGTAACTGGCTTTCTAGAACACACGTGGTCCAGAGGAAAAGAGCACTCCAGTAGGAATCTGTAAGCCTTGCCTCATATCCCAAGCCGGGAGTTCACACATACAGGCTGGATGCCTCAGCAAGGATGGGGATAAAGCTTGTGAGGAGTTGCCTAAGTGACAGGTTCAAGTTTCCCAAAGGCCGCTTCCTTCACAAAAGTTGAGTTAATCCTGGGTGGTTTACAAATTTTTACCTGACAGAGAGCACGCCTAGCATTCAAAACGGAATGGTCATTATTCTTGGGGGAAAAGGAGATTCTAAAAATTAAGCCAGGTTAAATGTCAACTTTCAATGTGAACTTCTGAACTACAGTTACTTTGGTTCTGCAACTTTCTGAAACTGACCAACATGTCCGGGCTTTGGAGAACCTTTAAAAAAGTGTTCTTTTAAATGGACATTTTAATTGTACTATCATCTAGAGATATATTAAAAAAAAATTAGGATTTAAACTTTAATTTTGAAAAATCAACATATTTTGGGAAAAATACGTAAGCCACAACCCCACTTCCAGATGCTGCACAATAATACTCCTGAGTCTTGAGCGACACAGAGCTGCAACTGTTATCTGAACACATCAAATTCACTTATTTCTGTAACTCCATGAAATAAAAACTGTGAAAAAATACTTCATAGAATCCCTAGAATCTTCTTCTTCTAAAAATGTTCCTTTGTCTTTGTCCCTAAAATAATCCTTAGCATGAACTCATGAATCCGTCCTCTTCAGAGACATGAGAAACTTCTGGTACTGAAGTTGCTGGTACACTTGGCTTTGTCAAGGCAAAAAGCACTCTTGATAGGTCAGTTATTTACACTACAACGTAAAGAACAAACGAATCAATAAATCATCTTGGAAAACTGCCATAGCATGTATGCTCAGTGAACTGCTTTTCCTTTCTGAAGGAATAAATATGAATGTGAGTCTCTTCTGTCTGGGAGAACAAAAATATTACAAGTATTTCTTTGGCTCTTCATGTGAATTCCTCATAACTCATCCTCCGAAAATTATGAATAAGAGTATTATTTTTGGCTTTCCTTCCAGCTCACCAGTTAAGCAAAATTTTCTTCTACTTAGCACTTGGGAGAAAAATCATTGGCATTTCATTTTCTCTACATGAAACACCAACCGCTCTTACCTGCTGCAGTTCTGACCTCTGTCCAAATGCACAGCATAGAGAGCACAAGAGAGCAATGTTTAATTTATAATAATATTAAAGTGCTTTAGAGGTGAACATGCAAATGATCGCATGGAAAGTTTCTACCAAGGACTGCTACAACACCTGGTAGTTATGTGGTGGGTTAACAGCCATTCAGACATTAACAATGGAATGTTGCAGAGGCAAACAATGAATGAGGAGATAACTCACCTACAGGTACCAGCCTCCCTGTCTCAGTCTCCTCACAAGGCCATGTCAGTTCATCCTCAAAGCTGCACTGTCCATACCCACAGGACGCAGCACAAGGTTTACAACTGAATACAATATGTTGTCTACCTGACACTAATATTACCCTGCATGTCAGCTGGAATTTAAATAAAATCTTAAAAAAAAAAAAAAAGACCTAATACAAAATGCTTCCCCATCTAGAGATTTGTTTTCACAAAGTGCTACTTGTTATTATCTTTTGGTGGTGACACTGCATGTAATTATTGCTTTGCTTTGTGTTTTTTGGAGTTTTATGAGTTTCCTGCATTGAGTTATAAAGACTTTTTTATTTGATAAAAATTTGAAAAATCATTACAGAAAACAGTACTTGAACTGATAAATTAAAAGGGATTTGAGATGATTTAAGAGACTTATCTATTTATACAAATGTAGGGATCCAAAGGGGTATGTGCACCCCGATGTTTATAGCAGCAATGTCCACAATAGCCAAACTGTGGAAAGAGCCAAGATGTCCATCGACAGATGAATGGATAAAGAAGGTGTGGTATATATATACAATGGAATATTATGCAGCCATCAAAAGGAATGAAATCTTGCCATTTGCAACGACGTGGATGCAACTGGAGAGTCTTATGCTGAGCGAAATAAGTCAATCAGAGAAAGACATGTATCATATGACCTCACTGATATGAGGAATTCTTAATCTCAGGAAACAAACTGAGGGTTGCTGGAGTGGTGGAGGGTGGGAGGGATGGGGTGGCTGGGTGATAGACACTGGGGAGGGTATGTGCTATGGTGAGCGCTGTGAATTGTGCAAGACTGTTGAATCACAGATCTGTACCTCTGAAATAAATAATACATTATATATTTTAAAAAAAAGATGATAGCAGGAGGGGAAGAATGAAGGGGGGGAATCGGAGGAGGATATGAACCATGAGAGACGATGGACTCTGAGAAACAAACTGAGCATTTTAGAGGGGAGGCGGGTGGGGGGATGGGTTAGCCTGGTGATGGGTATTAAAGAGGGCACGTACTGCATGGAGCACTGGGTGTTATACGCAAACAATGAATCATGGAACGCTACATCAAAAACTAACAATGTAATGTATGGTGATTAACATAACATAAAAAAAAGAGACTTATCTATTTAATGCAATGTTCAGACCTTATTTGTATCATTGTTTGACAAGTCATCTATTGTAAAAGACATTTTTGAGACAACAAGGGAAAAACTGAACATGTACTGGGTATTAGATATTAAGAAATTACTGTTCGTTATGTAGGATGTGATAATGGTTTGGGTTTTAGTCCTTACTGCTAAATACACACTGAAGTATTTATGAGTGAAATGAAGAGCTGCGTAGAATTCTCTTTAAAACACTCCACAAGAAAAATAAGTGGGAGGAAAAGATCAAACAGAAACAACAAAATGTTAATAATCTTGAAGGTGGTTGGTGGTTACACAGTGGTTAATACAGTACACTCTGTGTGCCTGTTTGAAAATGTCCGTAATAAAAAGTTAAAAAAAACTTGTGATCAGAATTGATGAAGTAGAACTCTATCTGTCCTTCATGGCCCCCTCAGGAACATTCCCAATCAACTATAATGGTGAGAAATAAATGAAGCCACAAGGCTAAAAAACTAAATGCTATTATACCTTAAGAGAAACCATGACAACTGAGTATGAGTTTTGGCTCACAAGCATGCATCTTTTATTAGCAAATCCAAGCACTGAGCATGCATACAATTATCTCCTCTGTCAATAACAGATACGAGGATTCTTTTTCTAAGTGCACTCAGTATACAAAATAGTAAGCATATGCATTAGTTAACTGGGAATATTTTGAATAATGGAAAAATCAATGAGACTCAACTTATTCTGGGCAATTTGACTTTCTAAAACTCCAAATCCTTAGAATGCTAAGTAGCGTGTATGTAGCTTTATAATTTAAGAGAATTTAAAATGACTTTTTTGAGACACACTGATTTAAAATGCGAATGCAAAGAATTCTCAGGCTGAGATCACAGGAAGCAACCTTCTGATGGTCTGATATGGCAGTGCCAGTCCAGTAGAAATAGAAACCAGAGAGAAAAAGAAACCAAATTCAGGAAGGTTCAGGTATTGAGCAGAGATCCTCATGAATAAGGAAGGAAAAATGTAGCTCGAGAAAGATGACAGGATGGGGTAGCATGCAGAACATTCTTTCCTTCCTATTCAAGGCCATTTCCAGGACTGCATCCCTGCACACCGACCTTCCAGCTTCCTCAGGATCCTGAGCCAACCACTATCATTCTCCTCCCAGAATTTCTGCCCGCCCTCTCCACTGGCTCTTTCCCTTTAAGATATCAATATGCCCGGGGCTCTTCCATTTTATTTTATTTTTCATTTATTTATTATTTTTTTATAAAGATTTTATTTATTTATTTGACAGAGAGAGAGAGCGAGAGCAGGAACATAAGCAGGGGGAGTGGGAGAGGGAGAAGCAGGCTTCCTGCCGAGCCGGGAGCCCGATGTGGGACTCGATCCCAGGACCGTGGGATCATGACCTGAGCCGAAGGCAGACGCTTAACGACTGAGCCACCCAGGCGCCCGGGGCTTTTCCATTTTAAAAGTCAAACTTATGCCTTCCTCTCAACCATGGTGCTTTCCTTTCTCCTTCTCTTTACAGCTTATTTTTTTTAAGTTTATTTATTTAAGTAATCTCTACCCCCAACGTGGGGCTCAAACTCATGACCCTGAGATCAAGAGCCGCATGCTCCTCCAACTGAGCCAGCCAGGGGCACCTTTACTTCGAACAGCATTCCGTAATTAGTGCCTTCCATCTCAGCCTGCGGTGTAAACTGGTTTCCAACCCTATTCTACTAGAGCTTCTATGGCAAACACACCAATGATATCCATGTGGCTAAAAACTGATGGATATATTTCAGAGTTCTTATCTTACTAGACCCATCTGTATATTTTCCACTGCTAATCACTTTATCGGCATTCCCTCTTCCTGTGGATTCCACACCACCAGTCTCTCCTGGAGAGTTTCCTTTTTATCTGTCTGGCCCTTCCTCTGGCATCTCTGTGGAATTGCTTGATCTGGGTTTCCCTGCTGGGGCCCATTCATTTCAGAAAGTATGGAGGAACCTCTATACAACACATGGTAAATTTTTTTCTTTTCTTTTTTTTTACTTAAGTCTTTTTAAAAGGACGTTCTTAGAGGCATCTGGAATATATACTATCTGAAAATATGAATTAGTTTACCTGATTACATGGCTCATAATAATTACATGATATTTTCAGAAAAATACCATAAGCATGGTTTGGTAGGTGAATCAAGGGGCCGTCTATCAGACAGGATTAACAAACAACATAGTATTGGCGTCAAAACAGCTGGTAATTTGTGGTGTTTGGGCACCATGATTTAGAATCCACCATGCCTATGTTTTAGGATGCATGGCTCTAGTTGAGAAAAGTTTAGGTGAGAATATTGCAATCTGCTAGATAATGCATGTAACAATCTGTACCAGGGTATGGTAGGAAAGGAGATCTAAAAACACTATAAACTTAGTTTTGCAATAAAGCTTTAGAAGCTAATTTATTCATATGCTAGTCAAGGTAGCCCAAAAGGATAAGCTATAGTTGGTACTGGATTCTATTTGCCGGGTCATGAAGTGTAGTCTCTGGATCCCAGCTCTCCCAACTTTTCCAATGGTGTTTAACTAAGGCACTCTCAGTGCTGGGTAGGTGGATCTGCAAGTGATGAACACAGGCCCTCCAGTGTCTGTCTGGGTCTATGAGGAGGTGGGAGAGAACAGCTCAGACCTCTAGTCCACTTTGATCAAATGCCAAAACACCTCAAGCCCAAGAGGTTTAGAACTCTATGCAAGTGATAATCCAATGTGACCTGCCTTCATGCTTCCTCCTAAAGTGAGAATTCCTATTTTACTGAAGATGTGCAAAGGAAATACAGAGGGTGGTTCATGTCCTACAGAGCTCAGCATCTCACCTGAGAAATTGTAAGGAAATTTTTTATTTGGAAAAAAAGGAAGGTGGGTACGGCTTAAGCGTAGAAAATGTGGATAAAGACAGAATGTAAGAGAGCTGGTACCACTCACTTGAGGGGGAAGGGGGAACTGTAAGGGCCACCGTGGCGTGCAAATGAATGCCCTAACACCCCTCCCTGCAATCACAAAAGCAGGCATCCTCTAAGAAAGAAAGATCATTTCCAAGAAGCAGTCAGTAAAAACAATACAGGTTTTGCCACTCTGCTTCCTCATCACCACACTCAGCAGAATTAAGACCTTGCCTTGGAAGGAGGGCGGCTGACCAACGTGGATTGCCTCTCTACAAGGAACAGCTCATTAGCAGCCATCCTCAGCCTGGGCTCCTTGAGAGAATTGAGACTGAATGCACCACGGCACCCTCTCTACATCTAGGATAGTTATCAGCCATCTGCCAATCTTGGGAGAAGGCAAAAAAAAAGTCACTCAAATCACTTTCCACTGGGATTAATGCTCATGAACAGCCCTGGCTGGAGTACTATTTTATACTGTGACTCAGACATCAAAGAAATGTACAGCAACCAAGCCATTAGTGTGTGGTTTGAGGAGTGATTAACAACCCATGCCCTCAGCCGTTCCAGAACACATCATCTCTTTTTCTTTGTGGTATCCACTGAGAAGTGGCCTCCAATGTCCACCTTCTTCTCCCTACCTGCTCAAGATTTCGGATTTCTGTGTCACTATCCAGACTTACTGAATGGACGACGTTATTTTTTTCAGGCACCGCTAAACCTTATTTCTGCTCCCATTTTTCTTATACTGCCCTCATTTCACTAGAATCATAGTTACAATTAAGGTTTCATCCATTCACAGCGATAACCTACAAGAATACTAACTCAAGTACTAATAGCATGAATAGTCTTTTGTTACACAGTCTTGGAGTTTTGCTCTGACAAATGTATCTAGAAATAACTGTTCCCTAATAGAAGCCATCAAGGGTAGGGAACGAGGGTGAGGAAATATCTTTTTCCCACTGTCATTTTCATTACGGTTTTGTCTGCTGATTTGGCAGGTAAAAGAAGAAAAATGACCTAATTTTTCTTAAGGTCATATGCAAGTAGAAATTTTCATGGCTGTAGAAAACATATTAGAGCATAAATATCAAAGAGATTCACTGACAACACACTTGTTTCAGATGAATGATTTACAACGAAACAGGAGCATGGGCGAAGGGGCGCTTTCCCGTATATTCCATATTTTTTTTTTACATGTGGTGGAAAAACTCACAGTTGGAAAGCAGCAGCTCATCCAATATAGGGACTTTGCAGAAAATATGCCACCGGGATTTTGGGTTCATCTGAAAGCGTTCTTTCCTCCATTAAGACACAGAATGAGCAATAGCCTTCCATTTTCTTCTTGAATTACCACTGAGCCCATTCTGCTCTTCAGGGAACATATCAAATTCCTAGGACTGTCTCTTAGGCACCACTGTAACTAGGGCAAATCTTGACTCCCACAGGAGCCCTAGTGCTCCTACCACACAGTCTGCAGGACTGATGTGAATGTGAAAGCTATTATCCACCTTCTCTGAAGGAGTGACACTATCACTATCCTCTCGGGCCTAACAGCCAAGTAGCCCTGAAACATGAACAGGCCCAGAGCAGAAGTGGGATGCCATCCGTGGCCACGGGACAGAAGAAATGCCAGGTCACTCGCACACTTACTTGCCAGAGCCTTTTTCCCAGCTGCATGGTAGGCTACAATATATTTCTTCCCCTCTCTGTCCTCTGTTTTTGTCTCTAATCCTGGAAACAGAGATTTAATCGCTTGATGGATGACGGTTCTTTTCTCTTTGGTGTCCTCAATAACCTATTAAAGACAGACATAATGCAACTACTGGTTTAACAAACATCAAATAGGGAGATAATACTAATGAGTCAGTAAAAACATGAGTCATGTTATCAACTGTGCAAAGTAACAGAAGTCCATGGGTAGGATTTCAGGATCTTTCAGAGCTTCGTGATGCTGCACGTCTTAAGAGCCCGTTTACTGAGCATGACCATCTGCCAGGCACTGTACCAAGAACTTTGTAGTCATCAGCTTATTTAATCCTCATCATCTCCTTACCATGCCACCCCTACACCTACCTGGAGAGAAGGAAAACAAGCTTGAGAGAAGTGAAAGAATGTGTCCCGGGTCACACAGCTGGAGGACAGTGGCGCCAGATGTGAAATCCGGCTGTGTGACTCGGGAGGCTCCCATCACCGACACTCCCGCTCAGGGCTCACAGACGGCAATGTCGGCAAGCTAGGCCATTTGGGAGGTCAGAAACTCAACTCCCTTGAACAGTCCAATCTACAACTGCCCCACAAGGAATCCTATTTTATACTGAATTATTTTTTTTTATTTTAATTTTTTTTTTAAAGATTTCATTTATTTGACAGAGAGAGACAGAGCGAGAGAGGGAACACAAGCAGGGGGAGTGGGAGAGGGAGAAGCAGACCCCCCGCTGAGCAGGGAGCCCGATGCAGGGCTCGACCCAGGACCCTGGTATCATAACCTGAGCCGAAGGCAGACGCTCAACGACTGAGCCACCCAGGCGCCCCTATACTGAATTATTTTATAATGACATTCTAAGCACATTCGTTCACAATAAAAAATAAAATCAACATCAAGAAAACTGATACTTATTAGCTATAGAACTATTGTTCAGGGTGCCTGGGTGGCTCAGTCTGTTAAGCGTCTGACTCTTGATTTCGGCTCAGATCATGATCTCAGGGTCATGGGACCGAGCCCCACGTCGGGCTCCAGCTCTGCACTGGGTATGGAGTCTACGTAAGATTCTCTCCTTCTGCCCCTCCCCTCCACCCAGTGCTGCACACATGTTCTCTCTCTCTCTTAAAACAACAACAACAACAACAAAACTGTTGTTCAATTTCTGAATGTGTCTCACACTAAGAAATACATTTCACATCTGGATTCAACAGCCAGAAATATGCATGTATATATGCCTTGCTAAAGACCTAAAAAAAATTACGAAAACAGTATTTATCCTTAATGTGTACAATGCACTGTTATTTCCTATTTTATCGTATTGCATTTACACAAATGTTGGTTAAGATCTACTAAACTGATTCCACGATCCACTGAGGATTGCAACCTGCAAGTTGAAAAACACCAGGATACACTAAACTACTTGTTAAACTTAATATTTTAGTAAAATTAAAAATGTAAAACAAAACAAACTACATTATAATTACAGACATGTGACATTTTCATAACAAAAATGAGTCTAGGGGCGCCTGGGTGGCTCAGTCGTTAAGCGTCTGCCTTCGGCTCAGGTCATGATCCCAGGGTCCTGGGATCGAACCCCACATCAGGCTCCCTGCTCCGCGGGCAGCCTGCTTCTCCCTCTCCCACTTCCCCTGCTTGTGTTCCCTCTCTCGCTGTGTCTCTCCCTGTCAAATAAATAAAATCTTAAAAAAAAAAAATGAGTCTAGATCTGGTATTTACTGAGAACACTGAGTTGGAATCAAACTTTGTGCATATGACTGAATACACAGTTAGACTTCAAAAATTCGGCAAGTCTGTCCTCATTTTACAAACAAGGAAACTTGCCCAGGGTTTATTTTTAAAGGTACAAACTTTGAGTAGATGGCATAACTATAGTTTTTCAGATGACAGCAAATTTTGCCATCTACGCAGGAAAATGCACGTTATGGGGCTGAGATCCGCCATGGTGCTGCATAACCAAGAGAAACCTGGACCATCCTTCTAGACTGCTCTCAAAAATAATTCTTTGTTTTCTCTTTGGCATTGCTGAAGATTTTGTCCATAGGTAAATTCAGTAATTGATGAACCCTAAAATTATAATGTTACATACCTTTGGGACATTTAGGTGGAGGGGAAGAGGAGATATGGGTTGGGGGCAAATAATGAAGTCTGAAAAGTTATGGTAAGCTCTTGTTAACTGGGAGCGATGGAAGGGGGAATTTTATTTTTTATTTTTATTTTTTTTAAAGATTTTATTTATTTATTTGGCAGAGAGAGACACAGTGAGAGAGGGAACACAAGCAGGGAGAGTGGGAGAGGGAGAAGCAGGCTTCCCACTGAGCAGGGAGCCCGATGTGGGGCTCGATCCCAGGACCCTGGGATCATGACCTGAGCCGAAGGCAGGCGCTTAACGACTGAGCCACCCAGGCACCCCGGAAGGGGGAATTTTAGACAACCCCAAATCAAGAAGGTCATTAAACTATGGTACAAAAGCAATTTAACATAAACTTAAAATTCTAAAAATCTTATCACCTAGAGCTGCTCTGTCCCATACGGCAGCCCCGAGCCACACAGATGGTAACTGAGCATGTGGCTAGTCTGAACTGAGCTATGTTACCAGCATAAAAGAACGCCGGATCCTGACGACTAAGTAGGAAAAAAAAAAAAAAAGAATGTAAAACATCTCATTTGTAATTAAAAAAATATATTGATTATGTATTGAAATGATATTTTATATTATTTTTTTAAGATTTATTTATTTACTCTAGAGAGAAAAAATGTGAGAGGGAGCGACAGCAAGGGTTGGGAAGGGCAGGAGAGGGAGAATGTCAAGCAGACTCCCAGCTGAGTGCAGAGCCCAACATGGGGCTGGATCTCACGACCCTGAGACCATGACCTGAGGGGAAATCATGAGTCGGATGCTTAACTGACTAAGCCATCTAGGTGCCCAAAAATGATATTTTAAATGTACTAGGGTAAATAAAATATATTGTTAAAATTAATTTCACCTGTCTCTTTTTAAGCTTTTAGGAGATTTAAAATTAAAAACATGGCTCACATTAGAAGTCCACTGGATAGTACTAATTGAAAATAAAATTTTCATAACAAAAGGTTCTGAAAAGGCATCCACTATTCCATTTAGTAGCTGAGCTCTCCTTTTCCTCAACAGCAGAAGCAGACTCAAGTTGAGCAAAGAAATTTCCCTTCTCTTTCCCCAACTCCTCTCCCTCCAAAGACCCACTTGAGACCCAGAGGCTGCAGGAGGCAGAGTGAGAGCCACGACCGCCCTATCAGGCCACACATCTGATTGTCAGGCTGTCCTACTTTGGCTACAGACACCATGTGACAGAAAGGTTACTCTTGGTTCCAAACAACACATTTCTTTGATTTGTGGTCATGTATAAAATTTTCTTAAAACAAAAACGTAACTTTTTTGCTGCAGTTTATCTGGATACTGGTTATCTGCCACTGATAAAAACATTTTTTTTTTTTTAAGGTTTTATTTATTAATTCAACAGAGAGACAGAGCCAAAGAGCACAAGGAGGGGAACAGCGGAGGGAGAAGCAGACTCCCCACTGAGCAGGGAGCCCGACCTGGGGATCGATCCCAGGATCCCGGGATCATGACCTGAGCCGAAGGCAGATGCTTAACTGACTGAGCCACCCAGGTGCCCCGATAAAAATATTTTTAGTGTAATGGTCTTTTAGATCAAACAGAGCAAGGTCATCCTTTTGCTAACTATTGTAATTTTTCTAACAGACACTTAGATATGTTCACCCAAAAAAGCAGCAACCAAAACCCTAAAAAAAACTTTTCCATACATTTTTGTGCTATTTACCTCGATGGCAACACTGGTTTCCTTATTCTTAAAAAGCTGGAGCTCTTCTAAACGCTGCTTTTCTTCAGCTGTCAAAACCGTAAATATATCTTCTGAAGGATCCTTGAAAATAATGATGAAACTCCCAGTGAGTCACACACAGAATTCGAAGCTGTTAGAGATCTATATTTCTAGGATCTCCAGGAAATGCTATTTTATACAGAAAGTGACTTTTGCTGGACAGCTGCTCTTACCTCTTCATCCACCGGGACAGACAAGTCATCCAAATGGCTGATCTGTCCATCTTTTCCTATTTCGTGAACAACGAAGTCGGAGTATCTGATGAAAAGGGAACACAAACTTTCAAAGCATTAACATTTTACTTCCTATTAAATTGAGGAGAAAGTTTATCAACATCAAGCTTTGCTGCTGTACAAAACAGGGATTTAAAAAAAAAATCTTCGGTACAAAGTTCATATGGAGTTATTTCTTCTGGTTTCTTAATGAATTCCAAGCTACAGCTTGGCTTTGCATTAGAATGTAAAGAAAAGACCCTCTGAACTTCTAGAATATTCTTTCAGAGAAATGCATAAATCAAAGCTTAGTAATGTTACAGAGACAGTCCATACTAAAGTGAATCCTAAATATGGCATGGTTAATTAAATCAGAACCTAATAAATCTACCATGAACCAACCTGAAGCTTACCTTTATGCTAAATACACACATTATTTAAAATCCTCTCAAAAACCCCAAGGTGGTATTGGGACCCATTTTTTGGACAAGCTACCAAGGCTCTGAGTTAAGTAAATGCAGTAACTGGACTAGATTCACACCCAGATCCATCTGGGTCTAAAGACTACCTGCTTTCTACCATAGATGTGGCACATTCAGGTGAGAGAGTTGAGTTTAAGATTTAAAGACCAATTCAAGAGAAAACTCAAAAACCATTTAAAATAAGGTATTTTAAAGAAGTGAACAGGGGCACCTGGGTGGCTCAGTCGTTAAGCATCTTCCTTCGGCTCAGGTCATGATCCCAGGGTCCTGGGATCGAGCCCCGCATCGGGCTCCCTGCTCCGCAGGAAGCCCGCTTCTCCCTCTCCCACTCCCCCTGCTTGTATTCCCTCTCTCGCTGTCTGTCAAATAAATAAAATCTTAAAAAAAAAAAAATTAAAAATAAATAAAAATAAAAATAAAGAAGTGAACAGCACTCATTCACATATGAGCAAGGCATGCCACAAACATTTTTAGTTACTCATTTCATCTTTAAATGGCTTCATCTGACTATTTAGGCGGCTCTCCTCCATCCTATTCCTTTGTGACCATCAGTAAACAATGTGTGGGGATAGAAAGCTAAATAGAAGAACCTATTGCTGATTTCTTTCTCAAGAACAAATAGAATGAAAATAACTTGACATGTAAATGAAACATACCTTTCTTTCAAGATGCCTGAGAATCCCTGATGAGAACTTACAAACTTGGTGATGCCAACGTCAAGTTCAGTGAGGCCGTGCTTCATCATGTCTGCAAAACTCTCAGCTTCCTCCTCCTCCTCACCCTCCTCCGAAAGGCCATCTTCTTCCTCCTCTTCCTCTTCTTCCAACTGCACATCAGAATTCTTTCTACCCTCTCTGGCACTTACAGCTGCGGGTGGCCCAGGCACATGCACACTGCCGGGCGGAGAGACATGCTCCAGCCCATCCTGACCTGTGGTCAGACAGCCGTCCAAGACCTTCTGTCTTTTTGCCTCCTCAGCTGGGGCCACACTGTCATTATCTTCGACAGCATGAGACCCACGTTTCAGCGACACACCAGTCACTTCTGTCAGCTCCATTTTTAAAGCTCCAAGAAAACATTTAAGAGAACCTTTTAGGAAGGAAGAGAGGGCAGGAAGTAACCATCACTTCAGTTAAGAGGTGGGTTTCAGCAAACAGAGGCACAATTAACTTTGTTCCTAGGGTCCTAAAACTCATTTATTAAAATAGTTCTTCCTAATGCTGGCACAGAAAAATGGCACAACACTTCTGCAGAGAATTTGAGAGTATGCATCAAAAACCTTAAACAAAATGTATGTCCTTTGATCCAGAAATACTGCTTTCAGGGAGTATCCTAAAATAATTAAAATAATTAAAGCACTTTTGTTAAGTGCTTAAAGTTCTAGCTGTAAGGATACTCATCTCAGTGCTTTTATATTAGCAAAAAACTAAGAACAATGATGCCTGGGTACGTAAACTGAACAATACGTAGAAACCATGTGGACAGAAAACTGGGCAAGGTGGTTACTTCTAGGACAGGGTATGGGTGGCTGGGTACAACAGGGAGACCTGCTGTTTTTACTGAATACTGCAGACAGGTCACTTGAACTTTGTTTCACGAAGATTATTATCCTTTCGAAAAACTGATTAAATAAAAATAGTGCAGGGTGCCTGGGTGGCTCAGTCAGTTGAGCGTCTGCCTTCAGCTCGGGTCATGATCCCAGGGTCCTGGGATCGAGTCCCGCATCGGGCTCCTTGCTCAGCAGGGGGCCTGCTTCTCCCTCTGCCTGCCTCTGTCTCTCTGATAAATAAATAAAATCTTAAAAAAAAAAAAAAGAGTGCATAAATACACTTACATGAACGCATACTCATACCATATTAAAAAAAAGCAAGGGGGATGCAGCATTGTTTATTGGGTATAGAGTTTCAGTTTTGCAAGATTAGAAAGAGTTCTGCATACTGGTTGCACAAGAGTGCAAATGCACGCAACACTACTGAACTATATGCTTAAAAATGGGTAAGATGGGGGCACCTGGGTTAAGCGTCTGCCTTCCGCTCAGGTCATGATCCCAACATCCTGGGATCAAGCCCTGCTCAGGGCTCCCTGCTCAGGGCGGAGTCTGCTTCTCCCTCTGCCCCTCCCCCCGCTCATGCTCTCTCTCAATAAAATAAAAGTCTTACCAAAAAAAAAGAATAATGTTACATGTTCTGTGTATTTTGCCACAGTTTAAACAACACAGATTATCATTTAACCAGCCCACACACAATGTAATGAGGGCAAGTCTAAGAAGCCATACATACTTCCCAGTACTGAGCAGCTTGCCGGAGGGGTAACATGTGGCAATCAAAATAAATACATTTATCTAATTTGATCTTACTTGATGCTCTTGGTGAAATAAGGATAAAAGTTTTCCTATGCTAATTCTATAGGGAGATGATATAATTAACATGCTATGAACTTAGTAAGCAAACTCATAAAGAACATAAATGAGCAGAAAATTAATATTCTAAGGTTCTCCAAGGCCTAGTTAACAAGAAACCTAACTATAGAAGCATCTACAGCAGAATAATAATAACAATGAACTAAAGTTTAAGAATCCACATTTGCGGGGCGCCTGGCTGACTCGGAGGAGCGTGCGACTCTTGATCTTGACAGTCATGAGTTTGAGCCCCAAGTTGGGTGTAGAGATTATGTAAATAAATAAATATTTTTTAAAAAATTTGATCTTGCCTCATTGTCAAAAATCTAGAATGGAAAGAAAAGTAAAGAAAAAGACAAATACATGCACAAAATGAAAGAAAAAAGGATAATGGTGACTACAAAAAAAAAAATGGGAGAAGAGGTACAGAAAGATGCCAATAAAATAAATTTCCTTTCAAAGACAAAAATTTAAATAAAGAAAATGGAAGAAACTAAGAAACTGGAACAGACGTTGACCATAGCTAGTTATACAAAATTACCTCTATTTCAAATAAGAAAGCATTTACTCCTTATTTGTTCTAAGCAAAGTATAATAAAAAAAGAGTATTGGCTCATGAAATGCTGATGCTATTTCATGCTCAAGTTCTGTCACCAAAGCTGCCCTCACAGGGCCTACAGGCCAGTGAGGGAGACACCAAGGGCACAGGGGGTCACTTGGGGACTACGGGAACACACAAGATTTCAGAGGGCGCTGGTGGTGAGGCTGTCAGAGAAGACCCTTTTCCTTTTTTTTTTTTTTTAAAGATTTTATTTATTTATTTTTTATTTATTTGCGAGAGAGAGAATGAGAGACAGAGAGCATGAGAGGGAGGAGGGTCAGAGGGAGAAGCAGACTCCCTGCCGAGCAGGGAGCCCGATGTGGGACTCGATCCCGGGACTCCAGGATCATGACCTGAGCCGAAGGCAGTCGCCCAACCAACTGAGCCACCCAGGCGCCCGAGAAGACCCCTTTCCTAATGGAAGACCAGAAATGAACACCTGAGCCAAGTCTTGAGGACCGGGTAAGGTCACAGAAAGTGGGGAGGAGGCTGTTTGCGGGGGTGGGGGGTAGGGGTGGTAGCAGGGGCAGAGACACGGAGGCATGGGAGAGCAAGGAGCACTGGAAGAGGCCCAAGGAGCTCATCACACACCATGGAGGGGGAAACACACAATGAGAGTCTGAAGCTAAAGCTAGGGGGTGAGCAGATACTACAGCAGGCAGAATGCAGGGAATTCCATCTTGAAAACCAAACCACCGCCGGACCTGTGAGTTCGAAAGATTTCATGGCACCTCTTTAAAGAGAAACTGGGGTTAGCTGGAAGACTAGGTGGAGGCTACAGCCAAGGGACACCTGACTGGCTCAGTCAGAAAAGCGTGCAACTCTTGATCTCCGGTTTGTGCGTTTGAGCCCCACGTTGGGTGTAGACATTACTAAAAAAATAAACGTAAAAAAAAAAAGAGGGTAGGGCCGAAATTGAGCCAAGAAATGAGCACAACATGATCTAAAGCTGAGGCAAGGGCGACAGAAAGGAAGTTTGGATTCAGGGGCATTTAGGAGGTGGTAGGAACAGGACTGAATGACAAATGTGGGCAGCAAGAGGAAACACTCGAGGATGACTCAGGTTTGCTGCCTTGGGGACCTGAGGGGACAGGGGGAGCCCCTCCTGGCACGGAAACCCTGGGCAGAGAAGCAGGTGGTGGGAGAAGACAATGGTACTGTCATGGTACTCATGGTACTGTGGTGTCGAAGGCACCTCGGAACATCCGGAAGCCAGGCACTACCCTGTGGGACCCATATTCCTACCCCCAACCTGCAACGGCTTCCCAGTGACGATACTTCTATCCTAGCTGGCATGCCAGGCTCCACCAGGAAATCCCCATACCTTCCCAGGCCTGAGCTCTCAGCAGGGAGGAAGCACAACCAGTAACAGCCACTTCAGCAGCCTGGCTCAGGGACTTTAAGTCAGCAGGATGTCTCCCTCCTTCCCAGAATGCAGAGGATTCATCGAGCTCCTTCTCCACAACTGACAGTCATAAGCCTTGGTGGGAACACCAATGATTTCCTCTGCAGAAATGTCTGCGCCATCCTGCGTTGGCACTGCCCACCATCTAGAGATCCAATCGGTACCATGATCTCCCACAGGCCTCGGAGAACTCAGGCCCTGCCCCCATGGGTGCCTGTTTTCTGCCTGACTGCTCATGAGCTCTCTCCAGCTACTTTGTAGACTTCTTGGAACAGGTGCTGAAACTGTTCCCCACCTACAGAGATCAAAGTCACACCAAAAAGCAAACTACTAAGGAAACAGTGGACCTGGACAACCAACCACCATGAATGGCCACTAACATCACAACAAACAGACAACCAGACACACTGCATGCCCCTGAAAGCACATGCTATTATCTGTGAAGTATTTTTTTTTTTATTCTTATTTATTTGACAGAGAGAGAGCGAGCTAGAGAGGGAACACAAGCAGGGAGAGTGGGAGAGGGAGAAGCAGGCTTCCCACTGAGCAGGGAGCCAGACCGTGGGGCTCGATCCCAGGACCCCGGGCCAAAGGCAGATGCTTAATGACTGAACCACCCAGATGCCCCTCTGTGAAGTATTCTTACTGACTGGAACTCGATGTCTAATTGGTAGGTTAGATGCCATACAGGGACAGAAGGTTTTAAACACCACCACAGGGAAGGAACCAGCAAAATTCTGAATGTGGGAAACTCTACAAGGACAAAGACAATTCCTTCACTAATAAACAAGAAGGGGAAAAAGAGGGAGGGGAGCTTACAGACAAACTTATAAAGAAATGTAATGAGTGGATCTTTCTTTAAACAAGTCAACTGTTTAAAAAACTGGGACAATCAGGGATGCAGAAATACTGGGGATATTTGATGACATTAAGGTAGTACTGTCAATTTTTTTTTTTTTTAAGAGTGAGAGCATGAGCGTGCGAGAGTGTGCAGAGGGAGAGGGAGATTCTCAAGCAGGCTCCTCGCCCAAGTGGAGCCCGACATAGGGCTCTAACCCACGACCCTGAAATCATGACTGAGCCGAAATCAAGAGTCGGACAAGAGTTGGACACTTCGACTGAGCCACCCAGGCGCCCCAGTATTGTCAACTTTTGAAGGTGTGATTATGTTACTGTGGTTACAGTTAAAAATAGACTCCTTATGTTTTAGAGATACAAACTAAAATATTTATGGTTGAAAAATTATGAAGTCTGGAATTTGCTTCAGAATAATTTACCAGTGGTGAATGGAAGTGGAGCAGGTATAGATTTAAAACCAAGTAGGTAATTACTGAAACTGAGTGATGGGAACATCACACCTTCTTCTTTGAGCTTTTATTTTTATTATAAAAAATTTCAGGGGCGCCTGGGTGGCTCAGTCGTTAAGCGTCTGCCTTCGGCTCAGGTCATGATCTCAGGGTCCTGGGATCCAGCCCCACATCGGGCTCCCTGCTCGTCAGGAAGCCTGCTTCTCCCTCTCCCACTCCCCCTGCTTGTGTTCCCTCTCTCGCTGTGTCTCTCTCTGTCAAATAAATAAAATATTTAAAAAAAAAAGTTTCAAACCTATAAAGTATAAAGAGATACGCAAACTATTCTGTTCCAATCAAACCACTGATTTTTTCCATTCTTCTGTTCCTCCCTCTGCCGTCACCTGTTCTTCAAACATGTCCCAAAAAACCATCTCTCCCACCCTTGCTTCTTCAAGTGCCCCAAACCTCAGCATCTGTGCACCACCGCTCAACACTCTGGCTCACTGGTGTGGCTCCATGATCCTTGCTAGCCTCCAACCAAGTACCAACCCTGCTGTCTGTGTCTGTGCTCCTGGTTGCTGCTGGAGAAAATCACACCCGGTCAGGAGATTCCTCTCTTACAACAGCCATCCCGGGTCAGGGCAGGCTTCTCCCAGTCCTGCTGGCCATCCACAAAGAAAATGGGGATCCTCTGACAGACACACCTCTTTCCGGCATCTTCACAAGACCACTTACTATAACCATTTCCCTAAATATGGCAACCCTCTTAAAAGAATCCATAGTCACTTTAACTCACTCACTCCTCAGCACCGCACTTGACCCCCTCAACAAACATTCACCGTGCACCCAGCACCCGGCATTCTTCCAGGCACTGCGAAAAGACATTGTGGCAAATCAAACACATGCCCCGCTGGTATGGAGCTAACATTCGGGGGAAGATCTGGCTTCTGCCTCAAATTGTTTCTTTAAAGTTCAGCGATGGCTTCCTTGTGCCAAAACCACAGCCCCTCCATCCTGGCTTTAACCGACACCTTTACCCGAGACATGGCTCATCGCTTCGCTTCCTTGAAACTCTGCTTCTCCTCCTTGCCTTTCTCCTGCCTCTCAAGCTGCTCTCTTCCCTTCCTTCTCTGGGGCCACTTAAATGTAGGGATCTCTAGCTTCCTACCCCAGTCTTGTTCCCTGCTCACTATCCAATTTTCCCAGCCAAGACCCATCTCCAACGTCCTGCAACCAGCGATGGCAGCTAAGCAGCGGCAGAAGTGCACAGGGAGCTCATTCAAGCCTCTCCTCCGCCCTATGGCTCAGAGAGGGACATGAGCATCCCCAGAGATTCCGCATCTGGCTCCAGCTTACACAGCTCCAAAGAGCTGAACCAAATGCTCAAATTCAACATGTCCTAAACTGATCTCCTCATTTCCCACCATCAACACTCATCTTTTGTGCGTGTTCACATTACACTTCTTAACTGAAGTCAGAATATGGTCATCACCTCAACTCCTTGCTCTCCCCTCTGCCCACATCAGTGATTTCATGAATACAATTCTAGAAGGTTTAGAACAGCACTGTCATGCCTACCATCCCTGGAATGAGAATATAGGCAGATCATGCATATAATAGTAACACCCACTGGTTTCAACCCAATCTAGGTTCTGCTGTTCACTCCGTGGGTTACTTGCCCTCTCTAGGCTGAGGTTTCTTTCTCTGTAAAGCTGAAAAATGATGACTTGCTCAGAGGTCTGTAATAGCTGTTCCTATTCAACTGTTGGTCATTAATATTTATTATGGATGGTTTTCACAGCAGAACTGTATTGCTGAGTCTGGGGAAAAAACAAAGCTTCTTATGCTTCTTTTGTTCTCTGGGCTAATGATTAAGCATGGTTTCCTCATTCAAATACCATTTAATTTTAAGAGACCCTCACAGCACTGCCAACACACCAAATAAACAGGCCTTTAATATTTTTTGGCAGTCTTTTTCTTGATACTTGTGGACACTTGCCTAATCTCTTTTTCTTGTTATATTTAACTGTAAAGATGAGCTCATTAACTAATCTCACTTTTGTGTTTCAAATTAAATTATAGTTTTCATTTGGTTTAGCCAATGGCCCTATCACAGACATTAATTATTAAAGTATACATAGCACCAATGACTATAAATCTGGTAGTATATATTTTGCCAAGTTCTTTCAGTGGGCCTCAAAGACGAAAACATATTTAACTAGAACAGCTGTGCAAACTTCTGGACTAGGAGAGAGAGAACTCAAATTAGTATCGTTTTCATGAACAAGAACTATATAGAAGGGAAGACTAAAATGCAATATACCCATCACCGGGCTAACCCATCCCCCCTCCCCCCTCCCCTCTAAAACCCTGTTTATTTCTCGGAGTCCATAGTCTCTCATGGTTCATCTCTCGTACTGCATGGAGCACTGGGTGTTATATGAAAACAACGGGTCATGGATCACCACATCAAAAACCAATGATGTATTGTATGGTGACTAACATAATAAAATTAAAAAAAAAAAAAGTTAAAAAAGAATAAAATGCACTATAATTTTTAAAATGGGGGGAGGGAGGGAGCAGATCTTGTGAACACGGAAGAGGCTGGGAAGAATTCAATCAGAAAGATAAAACCACCCTGACTGCCCAAGTATGATTTTCCTAAGGAAATCAGTTTTGCATTCAGGAAAATCCAAATATACATATTCAAGCACTGTACCTCACAGCTGTAAAAAATGAATGGCTTTTTAAAAAGGGGAGGAAGGGTGGACGGTACAGCTTCATGAGTTTTTTAAATGGTATTTAAAAAAAAATGTTTTTAAAGAACTGTTATGCTGCACAAATACGCGATCCAGAATAGTAATCACAGTCAAGTAATCTAGACCAAAAGCTTGATTCTGGAACCAAGAAGAGAAAGAATCTACTGCTACTTTCCGATGAACTTCAAAGTCCTACACAATTTTTTGAAGGGAGTACTAAAAAATGGGGTTTTGTGTCTTTTATACTCCAAATGACCCAAATGAGATAAGGAATATTACAATTTTAACAGTATTTTAAAGTCTTTTTCATTAAGATTAGATTCACCAATAAGCTTCCCTTTATACCCACAACAAAAATGTTTAGCATTCTCAAAACTGTAATACAACACTGATAGTCCCTTAACATATTTCTTGCAAAATGAACATCTTAAAAAGGCCATTATCAGTCTTAATCCTATGTTCAGAATACAACATCCACTTTTTAAATGCATCCATCCTCTGCAAATTGTCAATAATCCCTTTAGCTCACAATAAACAGCCCTTTCCTTAGGGCAGAGCACACACTACACTCTAATATGCAAAATCATTAAGTCCATTAGATTCATTAATTCCACAAATATCTGTGCACCCCTTATGAGTCTGGCACTATTCTAGGCACTGGGGAAAAAGGGACAATTTCTTGCCCTCATTAAGTTTACATATATTTAAAGATATATCAGTGAATAAAATAATAATCTCAGAAACATGCATGCATAAGAGCTACAAATAAAGCAGAGTAAAGGGAAGAAGAGGAAGAGGGGTGCTCTTTAGTGAAGCATCTCTAAGGAGGTGTCCTGTGAACCACGACTTGAAGGAAGAACTAGACATGAAAAGATGTGTGTGGGGAGAGTCCAGGCAGTGGGACCAGCACAGGTAAAGGACCCGAGTCAGGAGCAAACTTAGTCAACAGATCAGCTGGACTGTAATTTGTCTCCTACTTGGGGGCAAAAGCTATGTTTTATTAATGCCTGTATCATCCCAGCTTCTACCAAAAGTTATGTGCAAAAGGAGTTGTTAGGGGTGCCTGGGTGGCTCCGTCAGTTAAGCGTCTGCCTTCCGCTCAGGTCATGATCCCAGAGTCCTGGGATGGAGCCCTGCATTGGGCTCCCTGCTCAGCGGGGAGCCTGCTTCTTCTCCCTCAGCCTGCTGCTCCCCCTGCTTGTGCTCTCTCTCTGTCAAATTAATAAAATATTTAAAGAACAAAACACACAAAAAACAAAAGTTGTTAAATTAATATATACAGACTGTTGGCTACTTGCCTAATGACTGAACAAAATCACTGCCTATCCGTCCCCTTTCAGTGTGAGTGTACTGGTTGCTTTTTGACAGATCCCTCAATTGTCAAGGCATCCCCAAACCAATGGGGCATGCCTGTTTTCACAGATCAGATTGGAGACTTGAAACAAAAGCCCTTCGTAATTCTGTATTGTCGGAATGAAAAAAAAAAAGTGGTCTGACAGCGCGATCAAATATTTGACAAACGAAATTCCCCAAACCCTACTTCCTGGCAGGCGCTAATAACCCAGGCAACAAGGATGTCCTTCTAGACCTCTCAGTGCAGGGCTGGCGGTAAGGACTCAGTGCGGATGAGTTTTCAAAGGACAGCAGCACCTCCAACATCCACTCATTAAACACGGACCCGGCGGAGGGCTAGAGAAAAACACTCCTCGGCCCCAACCTGTTCGCTCCTACTCTGGGAAAAGTGTACAAAACAAGCAGTCAGCTGAGTGCCTCCCAGGCGTGCAGTAGGCTCGCAGTTAAGTAGTGATGGATGAAAACGAGGAAGAAAGCACGTGGGCTTTACCGGGCAGAAGACCAGCCCGGCGAAACACCGGAGCTATAAGGGGTCCGGGACAGAGGCCGGTTTTCTCCCCAGCGAGAATTTAGGGAGCGCCGGGACGAAGAAAGGGAGGAGGGGGGCCTGGATCGGCGGGCAGCCAGCGGCGCGGGGAGCGGGGAGGCGGGGAGGCGGGGAGGCGGGGAGGCGGGAGGGCGCGGCGCCCCCTGCCGACAGGCCCCGGGATGGGGGGGCGGGGCTGGCACCGCGGGAGCAGGACCGCCGGGCTCCAGCCGCGCTCCCGCGGGCACGGTCCGTAATGGAGGCGCCGCGGGCGCGCCACGGGTTCAGGCCGCGGCCCGGACGCCTTCCCCGTCCGCACTGCCCTTCGGGGTGGGGCCCTGGGGCCGGGCCGCCGGCTGGCCGCGGAGCCCGGGGTTGCGGCGAGGCCGCGCACTTACCCGGGGCCTGAGAGCGCGGGCGCGGCACGGGCCGGGCAGCGAGGGCGCGGACGCGCTGCTCCGGGCGCAGGAGGGCGGCGGCGGCGAAGGCCACTCGGAAGAGCCAGCTGCGAGGGCGCCCAGGCATAGGCAGCGCGGTCAGCACCTTCAGCCCCCGGGGTACGGGGCGCGCGGGTGGACTCCCCGGCGGCCGAGCTCTCACACGTGCCGCGCAGCGACGCGCCGCCGCTGATCCGCCCCACCCCCGGGGCGGAGCCCGGCCTCCGCCGACGGCCCCGCCCCCGCGCCAGCCCCGAGCGGCGAGGCCCCGCCCCCTCTCCGCCGCCCAGGGTCCCAGCGGCCTCGCGGAGAGGAATTTCGCTGGTAACCTGCGGCATGGTCCGCTGCGGGTTGGGGAGACCCCTGCGGCTCATTCGCCTGAGCCTTCACCCGGGCAAACAGTGATTTCATCGTGCATCAGAGAGTCCTTTAGACAATCTTTAGGACTTCTAAAGTGGCGATGGCCGTACAAATGTTTGCTGTATTTTAATAAAGGTTTCTTCTACATAGTAAGGCCCTTTTGTGTTGCTCTCCACACGCAGCTAACTTAAAAGAATAACTTTAGGGCGCCTGGGTGGCTCAGTTGGTTAAGCGACTGCCTTCGGCTCAGGTCATGATCCTGGAGTCCCGGGATCGAGTCCCGCATCGGGCTCCCTACTCGGCGGGGAGTCTGCTTCTCCCTCCGACCCTCCCCCCTCTCATGTGCTCTCTCTCATTCTCTCTCTCTCAAATAAATAAAATCTTAAAAAAAAAAAAGAATAACTTTAGGGACTATATTGTTCTATATACAATTCCTTCAAAGTGCAGAGAATCCAAGAGAACCATTTTCCCACTTCTTCGATTTACCCCTCCTGCTTGACGGCTCCCCAATAGGATCTGCTTCAGGAAAACTGATCATTAGCAAGTTTGTGCTTCTGTGTGAATCAAAATCAAACCCATTACTCCTTCCACGCTCTTCAAGTAGCACACGTTTTGCAACCAAATCCAGGCCTCTAATAGCTTTTGCGCATTTAATATTTTGCCAAATTTCAATCCTTAGTGAAAAAGCTGTGTTATTTCAAGTCCTATTTCTGTTAGATTTCTGGGGCTTTTTTTTTAACTGTGGTAAAATACAACATAAAATTTACCATTTTAACCATGGTAAAAGTTTACAATTCAATGTTCAGTTTAAGTTCAGCGGCATTAAGTACATTCACACTGTTGTGTAACCATCACCTCCATCCATCTCCAGATCTCCTTTCATCTTGCGAAGCTGAAACTCTCTACGCAGTAAATAACAAACTCCCCAGTCTCCCGTCCTCCTACCCCTGGCAAGCACCATTCTACTTTTTGTCTGGGTGAATTTTACAATGTAGGTAACTCACGTAAGTGGAATCGTACAGTATATGTTCCTTTGTGATTGCCTTATTTCCTTACTGTTCATCCATGTTGTAACATGTGTCAGAATTTCCTTCCTTTTTAAGGCTGAATAATATCCCATTACATATTTATATAACCACATTTTGTCACCTCTCATCACTTGCATTGCTTCCACCTTCTGGTTATTGTGAATAATGCTGCTATGAACATGGGTGTTCCAATAGCTATTGGAGACCTTGCTTTCAATTTTTTTTTTTTAAGATGTTATTTATTTATTTATTTATTTATTTTTTAAGATTTTATTTATTTATTTGACAGAGAGAGACACAGCGAGAGAGGAGATACAAGCAGGGGGAGTGGGAGAGGGAGAAGCAGGCTTCCCGCGGAGCAGGGAGCCCGATGCGGGGCTCGATCCCAGGACCCTGGGACCATGACCTGAGCCGAAGGCAGACGCTTAACGACTGAGCCACCCAGGCGCCCCAAGATTTTATTTATTTTTTGACAGAGAGAGAGAGACAGCGAGAGAGGGAACACAAGCAGGGGGAGTGGGAGAGGGAGAAGCAGGTTTCCTGCAGAGCAGGGAGCCTGATGCGGGGCTTGATCCCAGGACCCTGGGATCATGACCTGAGCCGAAGGCAGAAGCTTAATGACTGAGCCACCCAGGCGCCCCTCTCCTTGACTTTCAAATTACATCCTAACATGTATGTTAGGTATAATATTCGGGATCCTGCTTTTAACCCACACCAGCACTATGCATTGCTAAGTGCCTAACATACACAATGTATCTCGTTTCATCCTTATTATTGCCTCGTATTCTGTCCATCTTAGACTGCCTCTCTCCACTCCCCAGATGGTAGTCAATTGTTTTCTGTGCTCCCTCAGTCATTGCAAACATTTCTGTTGTTGAACCTACTGCTTTCAATCTTAAATTTTTTATTTTCATTTCTATTTCCCTTACCAGAAAGTGAATTCTTCAGAAGCAAACATTTGGGTTTAGAGCAATCTTTTTTTTTCCTTTAATGTTTTTATTTTTATCAGAGTTATGCATGTCTGTGATTTAGAGTCAAATAATTCGATAGAAATCTTGTAAGTTGCAATGAAAGAGCAAAGACTGCACCCCCAACCCTGTCTTACCAATTTTCCCCTCCTCAAAGGCAGTCATTTCACTTTTTTTTTAAAAAAGATTTATTTATTTATTTTAGAGGGGGAGGGGCAGAGGGAGAAGGAGAGAGAGAATCCCAGGCAGGCTCCCCACTGAGTGTGGAGCCTGAGGTGGGGCTCAATCCCACAACCCTGAGCCAAAATCAAGAGTCAGACACTTAACAGACTGAGCCACCCAGGTGTCCCCATTTCGCCTCTTTTAACTGGTTATTTACCTTCATTTCTCTAAATAAAATGTTTACATAGTTATTTCTCAGTTTTTCACTTTTAAGCATTATCTATTGACTTCACTAAGTGCAAGATGAGTATTTAGCTCTTCTTCCTTTCCCCATCCCTTCTCGCACCTCCACCACACTTCTCATCTCTTTATCTGCTCAATCTAGTTATACTGTCCTTTTTAAATAGGTTTGTGTTTACTTCATTATGACTAGGTGAACATTACTTACATCTTTGGTGAAGTAGTATACTATGATTATTTCTCTTTTCTTGTTCAGCCTTTTGTTTTTCCTGCAGTTAACAATTATCTTATTTTGATTTAGTACTCATCACTAAGCCCAGTCCAAACTTTTTAATGATTTTTTCAATCTCTGCCTCCCAAGATTTAGATAGGTGAGGAGTTCTATCAGTTTCATCTGTCTTAAGGAGTCTCTCCTGGAGCCTTCTGGACCTGCACCAATCCATGTCTGGTGATGACTGTTGTTTGAGACTCTCAATTCATTTCTCTCCTGCATTGTATGTTCTGTTTCCTATATCCTATGTCTTCTTTTTCCTTTGTTTAGTCCCTCATTTTAGTAGAGCACAACCTCCAGAAGCATCCTGAGAAAGGAGAAGTAAATGAAAGGGAAAGGACAAAGAAGTGAAAAATAAGAAAGAAAAAATAAGAAATTAGAGAACCACTCCAGGGAATCCAAAATCTGAAAAATAAGAGTTCCGAAAGAAAACAACAACAGGGGTTAGGGAAGAAATGGTCGTCAACAAAAAGTTCAAGAAAACGTCTCCAAACTAAAAGCCATGAGTTTCCAGGTAAAAAAGGCCCCCTGAGTGCCCAGAGAGGTGGAGGTTTTTCCGAGGTTGAGAAGGACCGCCCCCCCCACCTCCTTTGTCCGGAGAGTCTTTGGCCAAGGCCCACTTCCTGAGCGGCCGCGCCGGCCTCCTGCCAGCAGGGGGAGCCACGGCGCACGGCTGGCGACTGCGTGGGCAGGGCCTCTCTGGGAAGAGAGGAAGAAACCAGAGAGACGGAGGGGAAGTAGCGGTGGCGCGCAGCCCCACAGTCTCCCAGGCTGAGCGGGTGTGTGGCCGCCGGCCGCCGCCGAACTCTACAAGCCACGCTGGCTGCGCATGGAGCCGAGGACTCGCGCGGAGGCGGGATGCCCCCGGCCGGCGAGATCGGCGAGGCGCCGGCAGCCCCGGTGAGGCGGCCCTGGTGACCCGGGGGAGGGACACTGGTGACCCAGTGAGGCGGCACAGATCTCCCAAGGGAGAGTGTGTCTGTAAGGTGGCCCTGGCGGCCTGGGGACGTGATTTCCGAGGCCCGGGGGAGACAGCCCTTGCAATCTGGTGAGGGGGCACGGACCTCCCAGGGGAGGTGGTCCCAAGGCGGTAATTCTGGCGAGCCTGGTGACATGACACAGAGCTCTCTAGGGACGTGGCCCTGGAAGCTGGGCGCGGTAACTCCAGCCGTCCTGGGGAGGTGGCAGAGGTGGTCCCAAGGGCCACCTGCATCAGATGGCCCTGACCCCTCAGGGAGGCCCCAGGGGCCTCATGGGGCCCCAGTGGATGCCCTCTGCGAATCTTGTATGAGTTCCCCGTATCTCCTTAGTCTTACCGTGTCCGTCGCACCTGTTCTTCTAGTGCTGCTCTGAAAGTGCTGACGAAAGGAAGGACGTCGAGGAGAAAAGTAAGCAGACTCGAAACACCTTAGCATTCTCTACCCAGCCATCTCTCCAAAACTCAGCCCTCCGCGGTCTGCAGCGAAGCGCCTTGGCCTGTTATCTTTTAGATGAATCTCTCTCTCTCTTTTTTGTACAATATGCTTGCATAGTATTAAGTACTGATTATCATTATATACGTATCTTTCTTTCTAAAATTGTAAAATATGGGATGATTTGGAGATAAGCACTTCCTGATCCCTACTTAGTGCAGGGACTGATGTGGATTTACTGGAGTGCTGCCCTTCATACTGGATTCAGAATGATTGGGGCCTGTCTGTTATTTTAATGAAGCATCAGCTTATCATGCATCAGGAATTTGGAGGGGCTAATGATCTGGGAGAGATGATAGAGTCAAAATGGTAATTGCTTAGTTGTACTTTACCTTCGGTGAATTTACCATTAAAAGTTGATCTGGGAAGAAGAGTACAAGCGATAACTTATTTCCTGGATCTTGGTCTGGACAAGGAAGAGGGAAAAGGTCAATACCTCCATTTCCTACCTAGGACAGGAGCAGGAATGTCAGGAATGTGGACATTTGTCATTCTACTTTAATGAGCTAAGCATGGCAGGCTTTGGAAATCAAGGAGTCTTCAGGGACGTTTAAAGTGAAATTTATTAGGGCAGGAAGGGGAAAGGCATGTAACAGCTATCTCATCAGAGGGTTTTTGGTTCTTCTGACCATGGCAAGTAGTCTAGAATGAATAGTGGTAGGAGGAAGGGTGTCCACATTACTGCAGTGGCTTTAGGAG